TTTTTATTAAATTTTTACTTTTTAATCCCAATTTAAAATTTAAAAAATATTACTTTTTAATTTGAATAAACTCGAAAAAATATGAATTCAAAAGCAAATTCTTTTTTTAATTCTTAATTATATGCTCTAGATTGAAATTTTTGATTTTATTTTGAATCCGGTAGTTGGAATTAAAAATTAAGAATAAATTTTTGGTTTTTGGGATTAAATATTTCTTATATATATTAAAAATCGTTATTTAGGATTACAAAATAAATAAAAAAATGTTAATTCAATTATTTTTTTAATGCATTATTTGCAATCTTGGGCATAAGTAATGAAATAATTATAATAATCAATAATAGTAATAATAATCAATATAAATATTATAAAAATAGCAGTAAAAATAAATATAAATAAATGTAAATAATATAAAAATATCAATAATAACAACAAAAAATATGAAAAATAATTTAAGCACGATTTCAAAGTTAAGCATTTCCTGCTTGTAATGAGTTTCAATATACGATCTAGATTCTTTTACAATTAGAGCGTCCAACTTTGATGTTCGATATAAAAAGAGAGGATGGATCACAATCTAACTAAATGTTAGTAGACCTCGTAAAGCAAATTAATAATTTTATAGTTTTTTGTCGTGCTATGTTGTGACATTCGAAATAGTTGTGACATAAAATTGAAAAAAAGTCGCAAAAATCAAAAAAAAATCTGCTGTGTGTACAGCGGTTGTTCAACTCTATACCAAGTTTTATCGAACCAATATTACAAATTGCAAATACTTGTATAACCTTTCTAAAATGCTATTGCTATGAGATGAGTTCGTGCTGAAAGGTTGCGAGTCGAGTTTTTCAATATCCTGTAGTACTTGCAATATTCGTCAAACAGTGTTGTTCAATATCAAATAATACTTGTACGTATTTGCTCGTTTATTTCTGTGTATTCTTGTACCTGTTGCCCAAATGCAGTCCTTTTAGCACATTCCACTTGTATTTGGTTTTTTCCAAAATGCTTAAAGGATACCACATAACGAACAACAACATCACTGGTTTACCAAAACACACAAATCCGCTGAAACGTGCTTACCTACCACCGCCATAAGGCAAATAAACTAAATAAATTTACTTGATATTTACTTGCAAAATTCATTGGCTCGCGTGTCACGTAGCGGCGCGTGGCGGCAATGAAAGTTAAACACGAAAGGACGTACAGGATCCTTACGCTCGGGCTCCTAATTACACATGAACATGTGAAACCAGTAAACACTGCTCCCCAACAGCATTTAGCCAAATATCCAGTATGTTTGTATGTATGAACAATTGCGCTGAACAATTCATGGTGATAAGCATCAACGCCTCTGCGCTTATCGCACATCGAATCTCTGCGTAGGCACGCAGGCGCATACGCCATTTACGCCAGCGAAGGCAATTGCGATGGCCGTGTTGCAGTTGCCGACAGTGGATTGCGTTAATTTGTTTACCCAGAGCAATGGCAAATAACAGCAACAAACAATCAACAAGCTAACATTAACATGATCACCAACAATCAACTACAATAACTGCAACAACAACAACAGCATGTAAAAATATATGTATAATATGTATGACAACGCCAACACAGGCGGTCGATCGCATTGGCGACCACAGCAATCGGCGAGCGCTGCGAATAAACAAACAAACAGTGCACACAAACGGACAGACAGACGTACGGATAGTGAAACAAATAAACACCTTGTATCTGACGTCGGAATGCCCGACGAGCACGAAGAGCAAGCGGAGGACGCTGAGGACAACGTTTCTGTGGCGACCGGGCAGCGAACGCGTTGTGTGGGAGATAGATAACAAAGAGGTGATAATTGCACTTAAATGCAACATATTAATGTACACACAAGCACATATTCACATACATATATGTATGTATGTGCACATACTGACACTCGGGCCAATGAACACATACAGGCACATGTTGTTGTGCATGTTTGTACATGGGCGACCAGGCAATTGTGTATTTGTGCAGGCGCACCAATTGCAACTTAATAGCCGCTGTCGCTTATCGCAATTACGCTGGTGGTCGCCAACGGTATCGGTGTTTGCTTGATTTGCGCGCCAGTGGCCTTTGTGTGAAACATGGGAAAATCAAATCTCAATACATACATATATAATATATATGGGCGCAATCGTATACAGTTTTGTTGGCAACTTGCTCTGCAGGACATCGTTATTGCTTATCAATGAATGCCACTAAAAACAGTAAACAAACAAATACCTATTGGCCATGACTGCCATGGCCCAGAACACCAGCGATGCCAAACTAAGCGGTTAGAAGTAATTAAGGCGCAATGAGGCATAAAACGAAGGCAGCAAAGACATATCTAACAACTCAAGATTTCCGTTGCCACACATTTCCATTGAAACACATATTTAGTTGGGGTTCAATGCTGAGATAAATAATTTTCACTTTTCCCAGAAGCAAGAAATTTGTCTTCTATCAATTAACTGTTTCACAGTGAACCCCGACCTAACTGTGTATTTATGCTTCGCTGGCCAAAATTTAAGAGTATAATTTTGTTTTATTACACATTTTACGGAGACACGGAATTAAGCAGAACCGGCTGCCAGTAACATTTATGTAGAAATAGCAGGCCAACGCTTGTAAAATCACGCCTTGAATATGTGACATCGAAGAAAACTTATGATTTCCAACCAATAGACGGAGTGTATATATAATATGTATATGCTTCAACAACAACAACATACATATATAATCTAATACCAATTTTGCTTGTGATGAAGCCCTAAAGCAGGCTTTCTCCGTGAAAAAAAAATTGCCAAAACATTTCAAATTTATCCAAATATACATATATTGATAATAACGTATTTGACTTTATGTTAAATTCGTATTTAAACAGTACTTACATATGTATGTATATAAAAAATGTTTTCCAATATATCCAAAATCCAAAATATTGTATTAGTTAATTAATATTAAATATCTCCACTAAAAAGTCTTGACAGTTGCCGATTCATAGCCGGAATCCGTCTCAGTGAAACTCCCTGCCTGACGCATAATGTCCTGGTCGATGCCATGCACCAAAAGTGCCACCTCCAAATTTAAGTGCGCCGTATCCTCTTTAAGCTTATTTATCGCCTTCTTGATATTTACCACAGAACCTGTAAGAAATTTAAATTAAAAACAGATTTTTTTTATTCAATATAAGCATACTAAACGCTAATTATGAGCATGTACTCACTGCCATCGGACATGGATTGACCGCGTCGCTCCATTTCACTCTTCTTGATGTCATTCTCTTGTATAACGGTATTCAATTGCGTCATAAGCGCCTCGGTGTCAGTCTGCACTTGCGTTTGGGCTTGCTGAACATTGGACAACTCAATGGAGATTTCCTTAAATTGCCGTATGAATGACTGCAGCTCATTATTCAAATGCTTCTCCCGACTTTCGATCTTCTCCAGACTGAAGGTGAATTCACTGTGCAGCTTTTTCAATTGCGATTGTGTGTCCTCAGAGCACTTGAAAGAAAAGCTGACTTTAGCGCACACACACATAATATGAATAAATTTGTTACCTCATCTATGCCGGCTTTCAATGTCTCAATTTGACTGAAATGTGTGCGCCAATCACGTGCATCAGCTTTCACGTAAACTTTTAATTGCGGCAGCACACGTTCGAATTCCTGCCGCCATTGTTGCTGATCGGTAAAGCGTTCCGTGGCTGCATTATCGGCAGGCAAATCGATGTTGTGATTGCGATCTGCGCGCCGTTTGCGATTTATCCAGTTGAGATTTTTGAATCCACCACCACCATTCACTTCCATATCACTATCATCACTCAATGCGGCATTTTGTTCATCTTCCAGCTTTTCCAATATGATTTCCGCATTATCCTCCAAGTAGTCTGTCGCAACCTCATCCTCCTGTGCTATGTGTGGCCGATTGTAGGCTATCTGTTTTAATTATTTAGCATTTGCAATTAAACGCTTCCACATATATATGTATGTATATATGTACTTATATACACCCACTCAAAACTAACCTGTGCCACTTTGGTGGCTTGAGTGGCGAGGATATCCAAGACGGTCAAGCAAATAGGGCCTGCACCGCGTATAAGCTTGTTGGGTGGGAAATCCACTTGCACATCCTATACGAGTTCAATAACGGTTGAAAATAAAGTCAGAGACAGCACACTTTTATTGTAGCGTCGGCCTTACCATTTCGTCTAGTATTTGCACTATTTTGGCAATTACTGTGTTGGGGTCATCGAATTCCTGCGGCCGGTCCATTTCTTTGCCCAGCTTTCGGCATAGCCACCAGCAAATTAGCGTGAACATGAAAAACTGTTCACCTGGATTAAAAGATTTGACAAAGTAGAAACGCGAGAGTGGCTTCATTTTGTATTCATTCAATAGTTGCTTCTCGTAACTCAGCATTTTTAGCTTTTCCAACAGATCATCCGACTGGAATGTTGTCACTGGTAAATTACTTAACTCCTGAGAATCTCCTTGCATTTTTTTCGATTTTATTTTACTTGCGTTGACAAAGTGATCTATTTTTTTATAACCAAAAGGAAACCGAGCTAATTGTAAAAGAAGAAGAAGAATAGTAAGCGTTGTCAAAGTAACGGTTATGCCATAACAAAAGCTTTGCGAATGCAACTCATGTAGGGTGTATTTAGTGTTATAGATAAATATTTTAAAATAAAGTGGCAAATATAAAAATGCAAAATATTATAATTTTATATATATAATTAGGTTAACAAAAATTTGGCCAAATTACATATTACAAAAATGTGTTTAAAAAAGAAAGCCAACAACTAGATGGCGCAGGTTATACTCGATTATATTCTTTTTATACCACCCTGTTCATCGCTGTTAATTTAACCCTAGTATGAATCATAGATGTCGCTGTTAACGCTCGTAGTGAAAATGCAAAATAACTATTCGACTTCAATCAATTTAATTTAATATATATTATATTTCCACAAATTGTTTAATTAGCACCATTTATTTACACTTTCATTACATAATTTTTTTTATACAAACTGCGTAAATATAATTGTCAAAAAAATATCAAAATAAGACATCGACCAATAAGAACTACTATAAATATATAATATTATATATACATAAACATATACATGCGTAAGTACAAATCTCTGCTTCATACGTACAGAATTGTGTCCGTTAATGGAAATGATGGGTAACCAGTTGTATATACATATGTACATATGTATGTATGTAATCTGTAAAAAATAATTTGATAAGCAGAGGTATGTACAATATCCTTCAAATGAAAAAATAATATAATATAATAATAACGCACTGCAACAAATATGTTGTCGGATCAACGATTATGTATATAGTTTTCTTAAATTTATGTGTGCACACCTGTTTTTTATGGTTTGATCGCAAAAAATATGAAATATAAAATAGTATATATATGTACATACCTTGCTTCGTGCAGTAATCACTTCGACAAAATTAATCAGCCACTTTAAATTTTTAGTATTTTAACAGCCAGACACTCATAAATCTAATAATTCTCTTTTTCACCACATTAAGAATTTATAAAAATGTAGAATATTTCTTTGCTTCATAGTTTTTTCCCACTGTTTGCATGCCAATAGTTTCTTCACAATACTAGCGCTACACAATCCACGGCTTTAATACGCTTAATCGCACATATGCACATACATACATACATATGTAAATAGGTGTATTTACACATTTACCTCCGTTTCATGTGGAATCGGTGACATCGCTTTTGGTCGGATGCGTAAACGAAAGGTGATCGTAAAAAGGTTGCGCATACGTCTCGGTGTCTGTGTCATCGCCAATTATCTCCTCGTAGATTTTATAAGGCCGTTCCGTTGGTAATTCTTCGTAGGTGATGTGATGAGGTTTGTTGCATTTCTCATTGGCGTATGTTGCCACGCCAATATTGTTGCAGTTGCACACAGAGCCGATGCCATTCAAAGGCGTCTCGTAGTCTTCGTTATTGTTAGTGTTGTCATTCAAGGCATTCGGAGTCGGCGGCAGCTGGCGCACCACATCGAAACGCTCCGCGCTCGTAAAACGCCTGCCGATATTGCGTTGCGGCCAACTAAAGGAACGATAATACGACAAGTGAAACACCTTCTGACAATTGATCCACATATAGAGTAAAAGAAATAGTAGTGCCACGCCCACCGGCAGCATAAACACAATTATTAGCGCCTCGGCGCGTTGACTGCGTTTATATTCCCACGGACCGCCGTAGATTAGCTTGTAGGTGGAGGCGTTCACCACACCCATATTCCGTCCATGAATTTGAATACCTCTCACCATCGTCGGGGCTAGTGTTGTTGTTGTTTCATTCACAGGTGGCTCACTTTCCGTGACATTGTCCGCTAAAACAGGCACTTCCACCGGCACGCATTGCAAACCGTTCACATTAATTTGCGAAATGTATTTGGCGTATTGGAAGGCACGGAACTTCTCGGGGTGTGTGTGCGCAAAGTCGAGCAACCATAGGCAATGCCATGGATTACGGTCGATTTGTATACGCACTTGCTCCCAACTCAAGGCGGTCACGGCTGCTGCATCGTGTAATGACGTCAGCTCATTGTCGCGCAAATCCAATGACTTTAGCGTCGGTGTGGCGGACATCAACTCCGTTAATGAGAGAATCTTCAGCTGATTTCCGCGTAGCAGTAAATGGCGCAGTTTTCTCAGTTCACTCAGCCATAACAACGGCAATTGCGTCAAATGATTTTCGCTCAAATCAAGCGTTTCCACGGCCACAATCGACGTGTTGCTGCCATCGCTGAGAAAATCCACACGAAATTCATTCAAAGCATTGCCACTCAAGTTGATGTAACGCACGCTAGTTGTTTGCGCGGACTCGAGCAGCGTAAACGATTTCAAGGTGCAGCCGTTGATTGATATATTGCGCAGCAGCTGAGGGTTACTCACCACAACGGTGTCGTCATCGAAAGTGGTGCGTGTGACGACTAATTGACGCAGCGTCTCAGGCAGATGGCCAAATAGGTCGGACGTGATGTGTTTCAACTGTATCAGCTGTAGATCAGCAACGCCGGTGCGTTCAAACAGATCGCCGTCCTTCAGCGCCAACAAGGGCTCGTGCGCAATATAAATGCGCTCCACGACGCGTAGCGTATCAAACGCCGTTCGCGCTATGTGGCGCAGCGTGTTGCGTACGAAGTACAGTTCTCGCAAACGCGGCAGATTCGCGAACGCGCCTGTGCCTACTGTGGCCAATTCATTATTATGATAGCGCAAAATCTCCACCTCCAGGACGCTGTTGTTCGCAGCTGGACAACTGAATGGCTGCAGCGTATCTGCATGGAAGCGCTCCATATAGACTTGCGGCACTGTGCCGCAGTAGGGCAGATACTCCATGCCGTACGTTACCACGTCTAGCGGCGTGTGACAGCCATCGAGCAGCAAACTTTCCATTGGTCGCAATAGATAAGCGGGCGCGCGATTGTTTTCACCAGCTGTGTTTGTTTGGCAATCGATTTGCACCGCCAAACCCGTGGATTGCGGTGGTTCGTCCACCCGATGCAGCGTTGCTTGTATGAGACATGCTTCACTGTCATTCCAACAGCTCTCAGCATCCACTATGGCGATAGCTGGTGATATTCGCACCGCACATACAAGCAGCAGTGCCACGCTCCATCGGCTCACAGCTGCAACGACACGGCGACGCATACGAGGATTTAGACTTTATACTGAATTCCGCAAATCCGATCATCCGCTCCACGGCACGTCAAATGCAAATTCCAATATCGAACTGACTGAGCAACATGTCGAGCAAATTCACAAAAAACGCTCGCACTAAATTGTACTCCTTCAGCCGCCCGCTGCTGTGGCTCGCCAGTTGCGACGGTGGCTGCTGATTTTAATTTGAATTTTGAAACAAAACATTCAGTCAAAAGCCAGCAGCGCAGCACCCCAACGTCCCCGACGCCGCCAATGCCACAACCCACTACACATTTAATGAGCAAACGCTCCGTGTCGCCGCCAGCGACCGCCTGGCAAATACCGTGCACTCAAACACACTCGTCCATACATACATATGTATATGCCAACGTCTAAGTGATTTTGTATATATTTATGCGACACACACACACACATACACAGCTGCACTGGCTGCGTGGAGCGGCGCTACGTTTGCGGATTGTCTAATTTTAGCCGTTCCTCTGGCATATTCGTACTATTCGTGCTATATTCATCCAAGCGCGAGCATATGCTCTTCTCTGCGCGTTGACTTTGAGAAATCACCCCATTCGGAGCACTGAAATTGCGTCGATGGAAATCCGCCAGTCGAAACGCCAAGAGTCAAAGTCTATAAACACTCGGGAAGCATGGACACGTACCGATTAATGGCCAATATTTATTCGCATTTGCATTTGCAAATCAAAGCTAAACAGTGTGAACGAGTCTACAAGGCATCGGTACATATTTATATATGTATGTAAGTAGTGTGTACTTAATAATTATGTAGTAAAGTTTCAAATGTAATTCGTGAATACCTTTTGAGTGCTTGACTGTTTCGCTTTTACGTTTTTCGAATATAAATTTCGTGTGGTACTTTTTTTAACATTTGCGGTCGTCTATGCGATGTGTAGAAATATTACGAAAAATTCTGAAAACATTACATATGTATGGTACAAATGTATATATGTGTGTGTATATATCCATAAAGAAATGTGTTTACAAACAATTTACGATTTTGTTTTGATTGCCCTCGTAAGTGTTCGCAACGCTCGGAACTGAAATGAAATAAGGTATGAGAAAAGCGAACGTGCTGCTTTATGATTTCATTTGGTGTCGATCAGGTACCAATATTATTTAGATATCTTCTTAAATGTGACGAAGTTTACTTAGATAAATTAGAGAAAAATAAAACTAACTTAAAGTAAGGGTCTAAACTTAGGTGCCCATATCTGTTCCGGCAACAACCGGGATGGTTTATTTAAGTCAAGGAATCTTTTGATATTATAATTCACTGAAAATCGCGACATATAATAGGTGAGAGAGCAATACAATTTTATTCAATTCACTCTTTGATTTAATTTCTAAGCCCGAGACGGCCGTGACTACTATATATTTTTTAGCAACGAAAGGTAAAGGGTGTAAAAAGCAGTAACTGACTTTTATTTCATATAAGACTGAAGAGATTACGACTGACTCGTTCCATTACTTATTTTAAAGCGTATTTTACAAAATGTGCACGAAGCGAAAAATACAAATTTTGAACATTATTTTTTAAAAATTTATTAAAAATTTACATACAAAAAAGAAAATTTCCCTTGCTATGTTCTGACTTTACTATAAATTTAAAACAGTATACCTACGCTATCAAACGAAGCAATTATTCGCGTTACCCAAAAGGTTTCTGTTCTCCAACGATTGCCAACAACAGGGTGAAGCACATAGTGAAAGACATTAGCGAAGCGCTGTCGGGCACTATATGTTCCAAAAAGCTTTGAGCGATCGTCATCAAAAGCTGCACTGCGCTTGTACGTACAAGGAACTCGCTGTAAGCCAAAGCAGCAATATAGATCGTTTAGATTTTGGTTAACGGATAGACGCGAAATATTGGAAATGTTGCACTGTTCACCTATACAGTTAACATCTTACATATTCTCACTCAACAAATTCGGACAACGCACATTGCCGCCGGACATGGAGTAGATATGCCGTCGCAGCACGCGAATGTGTTTCTGCGATACTTCGAAGTTGTGCACCAGCGTATTCAGCTGTGTTTGTAACTCGGCAATTAAACTGTCTCGCTCTTGAATCAAGCTCGTCGTTGAATTTTGACTACGACTCAGCTTCAATTCAAGCTCGAAGACACGTTTCTGCAAGTCACGTCGTTGCTTCTCCGTTTGCTCACGCTGGCGCGCCATGGTACGCTTGCTGGCATTCTGCACACTATCCAATTGCTCCTTCAGCTTCTGCATCTCCTCAGCCAGTTTACGTTTCTCATGTTTCAAGGATGTGTTGTAATTCTTGAAGATTTTCAAGTCACGCTCGGCCGCTTTGAGCCGATTAATAGTCATCACCTTACGACGTGCCAGCTCATCCATTTTCAATTTCAACTGATTCGCCTCGCTCTGCAGGTTACGCACCCGCTCTGTGAGCATGTTGTTCTCTTTGTGCACCTTCTCGTATTTGGACTGCTCCTCGCGCACTATTTGTGGCAAGTGCGATACGTCGCGCAACTTGGAGTCGATCTTCTGACGCAGCTGATCGATGCCAGTGCTGATTTCGGTTTCGAGTTGGTGGTTGTTTGAGTTGAGCTTCTCGATTTCTATTTGCTGGGTTTGCATTATATGCTGCGCCTTGATACAACGCGTATGGTAGTCCTGTAAGCAGTTTTGCTGCTGTTGAATAATGTTACGGAATTGTGACTGCTCACACTGTAGGTTCGAAATAATCGACTGTAGCTCCTTTAGATCTGCAGTCTTACTCAGACCATGCGTTTTTTGATTGTTATCTAATACATTCTTAAGCACTTTATAGATGTCTTTTAGACCGGCCGCATGTCCGCGTGTATTGAACTTGTCCACATCGTGTGGCAGCTCGTTCTCTTTGTTCTCGGACTTGCGTTTACTGTGACGTTTCTGTGACATTTGGCCATTTTGTTGTCGTAAGTTTGAGTATTCGGATGTCGATGAGAGTTTGCGTTTCCTACGACCGATCGACACATCCTGTTCCGGCATATGATATTCAGTTTCCAAATTCTCATTTGAGGTGGTGCAACCAGGTGGCAGCATGGTCATAAAACTGCTACCGCGATGGAATATTTGTGTGTACTTGCGCTTCAATGAAAACTCGGATCCAGTGCTGCTGCTGCTGTCCGAATAAGCGTCCGTGCCTTTGGAGCACTTGCGATTGGCCACAAAACGATCGTGCTTCTGCTGCATTTCATTCAATTCAAAATTTATCTTCATATACTTCTCTTCCAAATCTTTGGTGGTGTTGTTGTACTCCTTTAGTTCCTTCTTGTACTTGGATAGTTCAGCTTTCAATTTCGAACCAACCTCACAATGTTTTGATTTACGCTTGACGGTGGCATGGTATGAGGGCCTCATATCTATGGAATTGCTCAAATCGCTAGGTGTTGCCTTAATAGCTTGCGCATCAACATTTTGTATGGCATCTTCGAATTGTTCCTCCGACTGATCACTTTTGAAACTTAAATTTTGGTAACTAGAATTCTTTGAATTGCAATGTAAGCCATCGGATGTGGTTAACATGTCACCGCCGGAGGCGCACGTTTGCCGTGATAATGTGAAATATGGATGGGAACGCCTCTCCAGACATTCTTCTGATTTCGCACTCAACTTTTGTGTAAACTCCAAATTTTGACTTTTTCGGTCCATTTGCGTCCTTTCTGAAAGGGGTTGGCTTTCTACAAAGAGGCGCACAAGATGGTTACTGTTACGCTTGTCTGTGCAAATTTCAATTTTTATTTTAAAATTGGGACTCTATTTACCAACAGAAAATTTTTCAAAACTCTTTTCATTCAAAATCCAAAAAATAATTTGATACGACAACAAACTTTGAAGGATGTGATCAAAATAAAGCGATTGCTTATACTTTGCGTTCAAGTATTTTTACACCAGGAGCAAATCTACAAATCGATGTAAGAATGTGTGCTCATATTAAGAGTTGATCGCAGAGTCGCTTCATATATAAACAACCACCCTAATATGCCGTTTATAATGGTCAACTAACCCGTTAGCAGTTCACTCATTTTGTAAATAAATATTTCTCTAAATGCAAAATAAAGCAGTCCAGTTCCATTGCAGGCAATAGATTCGGTATAAAGAGAGGCAGACTCTTTGCAGAAAACTGGAAGCGTCTAAGGCACAAACAATCTTAAGATGTTAAAAAAATATTATCTAGGGTTAGTTATAATTGGATCCTTTCATTGTTTGCTGTATTTATTAGATAGGTTATTCAATAGTCCATAAAAGTCCATACTGAGTTAACAGTTTTTGGTTCCAACCCTGCTAGGCACCTGCCGAATCACTTAGATGAGCAGCATTTTCGAAAAACTATATTTAGGTAAGCAAAGTGTGAAACTTCATTATACGACATAAAGAAAAAAATTAGGAAAAATTAACTCAAAGAAAACACATATAATACAAATTAACATAATTCTTTCTAAATTCTAAGTATTTTCTATTGAAAAGCAGTTGTCAAATTCTAAATAAAAAATGACCAGTGAACAAGACCCCGAGAAAAATTTAGCTTCGGAAAATTTAGATGAAGGAGAGTATGAGTTTATTTATGGCACAGAAGATGGTGTCTACTCTCAGAGCGAGACCACCCATATGGGTGAAGAGGCCGAAGAGGCGACCGACGATATATTCTCTCATCTCGGTGAGTCATCGGATGATCCAGAGCAAAAACGTTGTTATATGGAATACTTGAGCCTAATCAAGGAAATCGAGTGCCAAAACCAAATGGTCGATGATATTAAAGCGCAAATTGTGGAACTTTGCGCCAAGCCTTGTAAGACCAAATGCGAACTGAAGGATATCAAAAGACTACGAGTATGCATGGAGCAGGAGATACTAAAGTTGGGTTGCTTGAAAAGCAAAGCTATGGAATTGCAGAACTTCGGTTCTAGACGACGTTACCATGAGATACCGCTTGCCACAACCATAGATGAAGATAACATGACACCATATGCGGGGTGTACTCAACAGCCGCAAACAACTTGGAAGGGTGGCGAGAGTAGTGAAACGGATAGATGTCCCTCTGCCGAACCAAAGGAGTGTAGAGATGAGAAGGCCTTGCGTTGTTTATGCAAAGCGCTGGGTAAAATGAAGATCTGTTGTCCAGAAGACAAAAAACTTATACAAGAAATCGCCGGTGTGCTGATGGGACACAAGAAGAAGAAAAGCGCACCGCCCTGTCCTCAACCATGCCCCCCTTCGCTGCCACCTTGTCGGGGCCCATGTCCACCGTTCGCAAAGCCTTCGAAGAAAAGTAAAAAATGCAATCAACCCTGTTCGTCTGATTCTATGCCTGGAGCGGATTCTTTGGACAGACTCAAGCAGAAAATCACATGTATGCAATCATCGGTTTGCCAGTTGAAGCAGGAAATATATCGACGCGAGCGCGAGAAACAGCAAGTGTGTGAGGCGGAAGAAGAGAAGGAAGATGTGTGTTCGGAGGAACCCGATCCCATACAATTTTGCTTAAGCAAACGAACCACAAAAGCCGATGAAATGGCTAAATTGAGAGAAAACTACTTGCACTTATTGGCAGAATTTTCGAAAAAAGATTGCCAACTAAAAGAAATGGAGAAGCGGTAGGTATCCTTCTAAAATATTTACTTAATATATAATAATGCTACTATTTGATAATGTCTGTTATAGCCTCAAAGGATTTTGCGGCAGTTGCAACCACAATAATGGTCAAGGCGAAGGTCAAAATACTGACCAGTCCGAATTAATTGTTCTCAGGCAACGTGTTGCTGACTTGAAGGAAGAGCAAACAGAATTCAAGTGTCTAATGAAGGAGCAATCACAGCAATTGGAGGATTATCGCAATAAATACTTAGTGGCGCAACAGAAAGTTGAAGAACAAAGTGTGACGCTTGACAAATTAAACATGAACAATAAAAGAATAGAGAAACAAATCAATACGGAAGTAAAAGAAATACGTGCCAAATTTCAGGAGAAACTCAACGAATTACTCCACTTCCCTAAGCTGCTGGAAAACGAGCAATTGAAGTTGGCGCAAGCCTGCAAGGAAAAGGAAGATTTACAGGGAAAGTTGATGCTTATTTGCAAAGAATTAAAGGCACTAAAGGCGCAGACAGAGTCTCCGAAGGACGAGACGGATTGTCGACCACAATTGATGAAATGTCAACTAGAATTGGAGCAATGTAAGGCGCGTCTGGAGGAAATGGAAAGACAACGGGATCTCTTCTGTGAAAAACTCAAAGCCACACAAGACGACCTCGACACATTACGTTCGGAATCGGCCAAAATCATCGCACGCACAAAGGAACGAGCCGAGGCAATGAAGTGTCAAATGCAGGAACAAATAGATCGCCTGGAAAAGGAACTGGCGCAGTGTCGTGCCACCGCCTGTCTATCTGTTAGTGATCGTGAAGCTGTTATACGCGAGATGCAAGGGCAACTTAACACACTTTCCTACAGCTTTGATGCCGCACAGAAGCAAATCAAAACTCTACGCAATCACATCGCTTATGTCTCCAATGAAAATTGTTTTCCTGTTAAATGCTGATCACTTAATTTAACATAATTATGCGTAAATGAAATCACGTTGTTGGTATAGCTATGGCTTTATAGACATGCTCAATTACATGTTTATTGCTATATCTTATATATTTTGGGAGAACATCTCCAGGATACAACGGAAGCCGTAATCAAATTAACACCAAATACTGTCAGATGAAGCGGCCAACGCGATTAGACTATTGCTAGCATATTAATCTTATAAAGATTTTACAGCCAAACGCTTCATTTTGGGAGCCTTTTTCTTTGCTTGACGCTTCTGCTCCTTGAGTTCCCAGCGGCGCTGCTTCTCGGGGTCGTCCTCGGCAAGCACGCGTTCTTTCTCTTGTTTGCGCTTGTCTTCACGACGCTGAGCAGCAGCCTCTGCGCGTGCTGCGTGTGTACTCTTCAAGAATTCTTCCTCCACACGCAAGCGATTCTTTTCCGCTTTGTTTTTGCCCTGCAAAAGCATGAAGATATGCATTTTTGAAAACATTATTTTTTCCACAATGATTCTAGTTCATGTTACCTCTTTAGACATGCGATACACTTTTAAACGTTCCATTAAATAGAAAATAAGTATGAGCAATGGCTTGATCGATTCCATATCCACACCTTTGGGCATGTTAAATCCTGCCATCAGCATACACTTTGTTTCTGGTTGTTTCAAATTATTGGCATCTTCTTGTTGAATGGGACCACTAAATTGATCAGAAATATGAATATAGTCGATGTAACGCTGATATTTGTTCAGTGCAGTAATGACGCGAGCCTCCAATATTGCTGACGTAGCTTCAGGTATTTCGGAGAGCACACTAAATCCTGCAGGTACTTTGTAGCGATCCTCTGGCTTACTGACTAGACTGCAATATTTGTTCTGCATAGAAACGTGGAAAGTGCAATTATTACATATAATTTGTAAAATATATAAATATGCATGTATATATTTATATTTAATAAAAAGACTCACCAAATCAGCGAACTCTTTGAAAACTTTGGTTATAGTTTTCCGCAGACCCACGCAAAATACAAATGCATCCATTACGCCTCGCGTCATTTCTACTTTTATGTGTACTTGGTCCTGTTGAGGCCGTATCAATCCGGATATTAACGCTACCAAATCTTGACGTTTAATCATTTTAAGTTCAACAAGCATCCCTTCACAGCAAGTGCGACCGGAACACCACAATGTGTATAAACTTTCACTTTCCTTCATTAATCCAGGATTTTCGTTTTCTTGCTTGCCATCATCACCTTAAAGAATAAAATATCGCAGTGTTAAAGGAAACATAAATAAGTTTATCGACTTTTTTAACCTACCGACTAGCACAAAATTGTCATCTAATAGGCCCTTATGTGTACTATACCATAACTGTGCCAATCTCGCATTCTTCGTTTTTCCGGCAAAGAAATTAGCGAAATAGGCTAACAAACCAGCCAGCATAAGCATTTCCATCCAATATGAGTCCCAGTGAGTACTACAAAGCATTAGGAATATACACGTATGTAGATATATTTCCAAGAAAAGATATTCAATCAAGAAACTCTTACCGGAAGTGCATTGGAATCTTAGCTACCGTCAGTTTCGGCTCAGCGGTCTTTGGATCTACGGGTAAGTCTTTGCTTTCACCTGCATCAAAACCTTCAAACTCTTCTTCGTCTTGAAAATGCTCAAATTCGTTGTCATCATCTTCAACGATTCCGTCATCGTCGTCTGTTTTAAAGTCATCTGACTTGCCAGTTACTGTCTCTACAATTTTCGGTTTCTCGGGTATTTGTGCTTGTTGTGCAGATTTGTCATCTCCAGTTTGCGGTGCCAATGTAGACACAGGCTCGACAAAATCATCGTCCGTGTCGAAGTCATCGAAATCAGCAAAGTCACTATCTTCGACATGAGCAAATACCGAGGTCATACCAGTTAACACCAGGCACCCTAGTGCCAAAAGTGTCACCACCTGTCTTACCTGCATATCTCTTCTTTCACTACTCTAATAAATAAATTTTACTAATTATTAAACAACATAACCATTGGTATTGATAAAAGCATTGAGGTTAAATGCAAGTTAAATGGGTTATAAAGTAAAGAAAATGGAAACAGACTCACTCAAATTAATACTCATTTCAGTGAAAGGGATAGGGTTAAACTACCATTCACCATAGTGTGTGTAGTGATGATATTTTTATGAACTTATGTTAGTTTTTATGTTTATTTTGTAATCTAGTTCTGTAAAGCTTTTGCGACTGAATTTCGAAAAGTAAATGTATATTAATAGAAAAATTCACTGTTTTAATGTCAAATTTTTATGTTACTTTTGAGTAATACACAGAACACAATACAAAAAAATCCCCCCTAAAAATATAATAAACATATAACCTGCGTTTCATCTAAACGGTCTAAAAGTATTTAATACTGCAAAAGTTGAGATTAAATAAAAAAGTGTTTAAAATCTTCTGAAGGATTTAAGTATTTATCAGATTTATTTTTTAATTACGCGAACAGAGCTTTTACCATCTATGATAAAATAAAATCTTTTTCAAAAATACGGCAACTATAAAAATGTAAATAATAACAATTTTTACTGTCAGCCAAGTGTCAAATGTACATGTGGGATCTTTTTAACTCTAAATTTATCATTTGTTGAAAAAAAATGGTAAATAAATATAATGAATTAAAAAACGTACAATTATAATAGTTTATGCAATTTGCAGGGCAAACAAAAGAAAACACGCAAAATACAAAAACAACGTACATCAAAACTGAAACGTTTATTAAAGCCTACTGATCAACGGATCAAAGAAGGGATACGCAAGACACGTAAAAAGCCTATAGATCACCACGCTTTGAAAGTACACAATGTCCAACAACAAAGTTCCGCACTGTTCTTCCAATATAATACGCAACTGGGACCACCATATCACATTATACTCGATACAAATTTCATCAACTTCAGCATCAAAAACAAACTGGATATCATTCAAGGCATGATGGATTGCTTATACGCCAAATGTATCCCCTATATCTCTGATTGTGTTCGTGCCGAGTTAGAAAAGCTAGGAAGTCGTTATAAATTAGCGTTACGCATAATTTCGGATCCACGCTTTGAACGTTTACCATGTCTACATAAGGGCACATATGCGGATGACTGCCTAGTAGAGCGAGTTCACCAACATAAATGCTATATAGTAGCAACCAATGACAAGGATTTGAAAAATCGTATACGCAAAATTCCAGGTGTACCTATTATGTATGTAGCAGCGCACAAATACGCCATAGAACGTATGCCGGAAGCGTATGGCGTGAAAGCGTAATATTTATTAATTTTTAAGTAGTAATTAGTTAGGTTAAATTGCGGTTTTATATGAAAACTATATGCTGTATGTAATTATCTAAATCTAATAAATAATATAAGAAAGAAACACAAAAAACACACTTATCAACGTTTATATTTATTGTGTAATATTATGTATGTATGCAGATATATCCTACACAATTATGGACAAATTTTGATATACTCTGTCCAATACTAACCGGCAATTTTTCCTGTTATGTACTTTAAAATGCATAAAAGATTTTGTTTCTCATAATATTTTTCCATGAAATCGACTGGCCAACTCTTGGTTATGAATAAACTGGTGTGTGGGAAACCCTTCCATATAATTTATAAAATAAATAAACAAGATTCTTTATTTTATATTTATATTTTTCATCCAGAATTATCTTACAATACTACTAAAATTGACTCATCTAATAGTGTTTTCTGAAAATTAGATATTATTTTGTACATCATACTGATGTATGAGTACTGTTATGCCATCTTATCAGTACTAATCCGATGAGTCCTTATAAAAAAGTTACAAATAGATTTTTTCCGTACTTTTCGTCTCTTTTAGTTTTATTTAAGACAGTATATTAAACACATAAAAAGTAAAAATCTTGAGTAATATTTTACATTTTTAATTATTAAAAGAGACAATTAATTTTTTTAATATCCATTTATTACAATATACACAAAACATATGTAAACTTATATAATAAGTAAACAAAACATAAAAAATCACATACAATAAGCTTATAGGTTATACACATATGAGAGTTTTGCGCCTTTTTGTAGGCAATAAATAAAAATTTTCAATTGGCACACTTCCGTTATATTAGTATTTGATGTTGATCGAAAGGTCACTTCGTTTTTAAAACGGTCTGCTTTTGTAAATTTTTACTTTTAAACAAAGTCCTTGATTTCTTAGTCAACTGCCAATTAAAAGCAAAACTTATTTACTTTTACGGGTGCTCCTTTGTATGCCGTTGTCCTTTGCAGGGAAATATCAGACCCTTATGGCCAATTCACATAGAACTTTTGCAGCGCTTTGCGTCAGACATTAGTTTTGACAAAAAAGTGCGCTGTACGCTTTTCTTTGAGTGCATTCACATAAAAAGTTTTTATTTTAAAAACGCGAAACCAAGCAAAATGTTGGCAACTCTCATCTTTTTACGCTTTGCCAAGCAACCGTCGCCCATTTTTTTACTAGAGAAAAACACAGAAAGCAATTGCGGCATACCCTTTGTTTTCTTCATTTCGTTGTTTCAGCATGAACTGTCACGCAAAGCGTGGAATGTTGTGTGCGAATAGGTCTTTACAGATCTGAAGATGAATATTTATCTATGGACTTCTCTCTCATTAGGTCGATGAAAATATACTGTAAATGATATTCAAATATAATAATGCTAAAAGCTTTGCACTTTATTATTTAAAATTACTTAAAAACCTATTATTTGAAACTGTTTTGCACTCTTTATCCTTTTAGGCCTACGATGTCTTATCTTCAGCGCTGATATTCTACTTACCTTATTTTCCTTATTCATTCAAATTAATATCGATAAGTATTGCATATACAAATATGTAATGACTATCTATTAGAGAAATTAAAGTTTTATAGAAGTATTGATTATCTCTCAATTTTCCAGTTAAGTTAAATTGCTTAGTCAAATACTATAAATAAGTGCTAATAACTTCCTATTGATGTAATACATTGCCTTTTTTATATATTTGCTTAAAGAGATTAATTACCCATGTATGTATGTATGTTTGTATGTATACGCTTACCTCACATCTTTTATGCTGTGCTAATGAAGTCATTGCCATTTATACAAAAATTAAGTGAAATACACCTATATATGTACATATATATGTAAGTTGTCCAAATTTACTGCGTCCACGCTTTGTTTTACATTTTCAAGATTTTCAACTACAGAAGTTTTAGTTAATTATATAGAAGGACTTAGTCGCATATTGAATGTACTTCAACATGTGCCGGGTAACCCGAACACCAGAGCACCTGATGAAGTACAATAGACATGGGACATTCGTTGAATTATGACGAATTAAATCACTTAGTCACTTTAGTTATCAGGTGTGTGAAAATCGTTGCTGCAACTTCATAGTATTTTATATGTTGAGTATGACAGGCACTTCGCGCGCTACTTCAGGTACCTGACTGCCTTAGATTGCAACCCAGCCCCGGTCACTGATTAGCGCGCAAAGTACTTGACTTCACAGTTGAAAGCGTCGATTGCCAAAATGTTAATGACTAACAAAAAAAAAAAAAATAATAATAAATGGAATATGAATAAAAAAAAATATGCACGGAAGTCTCCATAGCATTAAACATGCGATCTCACTCACTTAAGCTGCAGCTGCAATTGCAGTTAGCAACAGCAGTTGCACTTGGCTGCACGATTACTCAGCGTGACTCCGAATGACTACATGTACATACATACATATTGATTATATGTACGTGCTTCTGCTCGTTTATTCGTACCTACCCACTCATCTGCCCAACGCGTAACCGTGGCACAACCTGGTGTCGGCTCGACCGCAGTTGATCATCCAAAGGAAACGACCTTGTGGTCTCTCCATGAGAAACTTTAAGGTTAACGATCTGTTGTTCAACTTCGTTAGCGCCCCATGAATGGTCTCTGGATGACTTCATACACATGTACACACCAATATGCCCAAATGTGTGCATATTTTCTCTTTTCCCAGCACATACCTTTCGTCGAGGCATGCTCTCTTTGCTGTCTCACATCAGTTCGCGAATTGTGTGCAAAAACTCAGCAAACAACTATTCACCAGTCGACCGACCAGTACTCATCACATCCGGCAAAACTACCAGCTGACAGACTGGCAAGTTAATTGGGTATCACTAACTCACGTCCACTGAGCGCTCTTTATTTATTACCTTGTTCCAAGCTCTCACATTCAAAGAGCTTAGCACACAGCATTTAACTTTTGCGTTTGTGTGCGGGTCTCTTTGTGCGCCAGTTATCGTCATCTGCTCTCACCTTGTCATTTTTATGATTGTGTGCGAGAGTTTCTACAAATTTCGTTAACTTATTTCTGCACATAATCAACGAAGCTTGGATTTGGAATTCGCTTCGTTATCAAGATGACTTGCTTCGTGTTGAATCTGATCGACGAATTGAAAAGAAAAACGACAAAAAATTGTAGGTACCAAACTTCATTTGGAATTTTAAATTAGTCATGCCATTATTTTCACCTAAGAGCGCACTGCACTCACACATAAACAAACATTTGCAGCATTGCTTTGCGAAAGTACACAGCCATATTATCACCTCCCCAGCAGCTGTCAGCTGTGGTAAGTTGTACTGCTCGCCTCTCTTCAGCAATTCGTGTTTGTAAAAATTGATGTATGTATGTGTATACGTTTTGCTTCCCTCAACACCTGACTACTAAGTATTGGCTTGCGTTTGCTGCCCACTATGCCTCTGTCTCCGAGTGCAGAGCACGAAATTATGCAAATGGTCTTTCTTGACTAGCTGGCACGATAAATTACTTGTTGAATGGTTTCGCACGCACACACACACACGTATAAATATATATATATCAAGTACGATGATGTATGCACGCAGACTTCACATTTTCAAACATACACACAACCTATGTACATACATACATACCAAAGTACGAAGTTATTGGCAAAACGTTCACACAGCCACTGTCTCATGACATCATCTGGTTGGCATTTCCGTGAACCAGCTACTCGTTCGCTCACTTAACACTGAATTCAACTTCCGCTAATTAAGTAACGAAGTTTATCCTGCAGAGTTACCGTGTGTATTTCCCATGCTGGCTGTTCGTCTCCAATACACTTGCACTGCCAGAAGACATAGCGGCCCTGATATTCTAAATTTGAATTGCTCTCATCTGTCGCAGATGCCGATCTCGCAGTTGCTGGCCACATAGTTTCCCACTTTTTCAACGACCAGCTGTTCGACCGTACGACCAACCGAAGGCACCACAACAATGACGATGTTCGGAGGAGGTATTGGCCGTCCGGGCTCAAAGCTGTTACTAAGCAATCGATGTCGTTGGTCGTGCTCGCGCACAAATTCGCACATTGTCGCTACGAATCGGTGTGAGTGACAAAAAACCAGAAAAAAATGCTGAAAAAGAACAAAATTAAAACAATTTTGTATTTTACTCACAAATACACGGACATAAATGCGATCGCTGTATGCTACGACGTTGCTAGCCGACTGCTATTGGTGTTGTCTGTTCCGATGAGAGTAGCTTTTTGATTTCAAGCACAGTGTGCTGCAACTATTCATTTATAACCGAGCGCACACACATATTCATACAGATGAGGTCTTGCTTGTTCTCCAGAGTGCACAAAGGCAAGAATCAAATAAAAAATTTTAATGAGTATCTACGAACGACACGTGCCCCACTACACACGCACCTTCGGGATTTATATGTATATGTATGTAAGTATGTTTGTTGGTTAAATTTTTCGGTGGTTATGATGCGGATGTAGATACAAAGGTAATTGCCGACGCACACATTACAGTAGCGCTTGAGCTTCAATTTCAGCTTTTCGCTCACGTATCTATTTATGTTTGCATTCTCTTCGTTCAGCTGAACTACTTCGTATTCAATTTTGTCTTCGTATTCATCTTCATTTTGCTTCGGTAAATCGCCTATGTATGTATATGTGTTCGTGTTCAGCTGTTTCCGCCGCCACGAAGACGGCACACACTTCATCAACTGCTGGCAGACATTTTTGCACTGTGCCGACTTCAGCGGCTGCCATATTGCTTTTACTTGAAAATTTTGCAAAGTTTCAGATCACGCTTCACGAGTTGTGTGCTCACTACGATCCGCGTGCTTTGCGAATTCCGAATTGCAAATTTTTATTACCCCCCTTTACGCTGCTTACAACTACAAGCACATACACGTACTTGTATACAGGCATGCAAATATGTACATATATTAAGCTTTTGTGTATTGTATAAATTTCGCATTTTTCATTTTGCCAAAAATTTGTTTTACGCTTGAAAGCGCTCGGCAGATCGGCGACAGCTGTTGGTTGGCTACACACTGCCAACCGATCAGCAGCGTCACGATACTCTTGTTGGAGCCCGAACGATACCAGTCGAAGCCTGGCCACCTCTCCACTTGGCAATCGTCTGTTGAGCAGCTGAAAGCAAGACGGTGAGGCGAGTGCTGCTAGCGACCACTAACATGTGAACACGTTCGAAGCTTCACGACATAAAGGCAAATATGTACATATGTATGTAAGAAGCAGATTTGTATGGATGTGTTTGCTGTTTGAAGCCTTGAATTTCGACAAATTCTTGGTGGAACGTGTGAATATTTCAAAGTTTCAATGGCATTGTAAAGAAGTCGTGGTTGCAAATTAAATCGTTGCTTGATTGTGGTGGCCGCCAAGCTTCATTTTACCTCCAACACCAACCGTGCATACGTAAGCAGCGTTTAGTTAGACACAAAGCCAGTCAAGTATTGCCGAAAATTCTTGGCTGCTAGGAAGCGAGATATTGCCACACACATTGTATGGTGTTCATATTTTATTTTCAATTTGATTTGCACTTTTTTTCACAAAGACATTAGTCGGCTGAATTTTGGCTTACGTATTTACATATGCATGTATGTGTGTATATATGTATTGGCGCAGTCGGTGACCTAAGTGAAAACCGAGCCACTTGGTTCGGACATCGGCTGTATGGTTGGAATGGCGACAGTTCGCGATTGCGCTGAGTACTCTAATGAGTAATTGCCAATATTTTGAATGTCGCGCAAACGTATACCCACAAGTAGATACATACATACAATGTATATATATAGTTTACCCCACAATGCTGACTACAATACATCCAAGTTTCTTTGGCTTAAGCCGAATATGCTTTGGTGAAATGTTTCGAGTTTCGGAAATGTTTGGCAAACAACAGACGAGCGGAGGTTATTTCATGCAAATGTGAATATCTCAAATATACGTATATAAATAAATTTATATTCGTACTAACAAAAGGATAAATATATATGTATGTATGTATGTATGCACGTTTTTTCGTTTACTTGGGTGGGGCACAAGCGCAATAATCTTTTTAGCTGGAGTTTGCACGACTGCCGGCAGGGCGTAGCAAGCGCACATACACATTTATATATGCATGTCTACCACTACGGGTATGTAGAATTGTAAGAAGTCGTTTCATGCCGGCAACAATAACGAAGTCATTTATAATGGCGATGATGATGATGATGTTGCAGACGATGATGCATCGGGATGTTCATGGTCTGCATGCAATGGACCCACCATAATTTACAACAAAAACATTACAAATTGCACACATACACACGAAATCAATGTGACACTCTCTGTCTCTCTTATTCTCAGCTTTTCTCTCTCAGCCCAACGCGGTTTGTCGCTCGCATGAGCTTTTTAAACACGCTGGCTCTTATTCATGTCCACTGTATATTGTATGCGAAATGTATTTTAATGTATAAATAAATGTAAATATATGTAAATCATACCAGTGCATATACACATTTACAACAAATGAAGGGAGTTAGTGTAGAAAAATTATAAGTCATATAATATTAAACGAACTTACCGGTAAAGTGACGAATCAGCAGTGAATGCCACGCATAAGCGCACAAGCACAAGTACGTACATATACATAAATATATATATATATGTATATATGTACATATATGTAAATATATCCAAATATATACCTATAAATGGTATATAAGTGAATTTGTTTGTATGTATGTGTGCGTATGCGCCATGCACACTCCGACACAGCTACAGCTGTTCGCAGTCAACTTCGCCGAAACTTTCAGACCGGTCACTGTGCCGTTGTCTGCCTCCATTGTCTTCCATCTGGTTCGGTCTTCGGTCTCTTTGGGTTTGTATTTGCGTTTGCGTTCATATTTAATGCGTACAAGTATGGGTGGCACTTTGCGCCGCATGGTGAAGAATCAGAGGTAGCAGCAAAAGAACAAAAGACTGTTTCTAACGTCAATTTTAAGTACACGGACAGACATGCGGATATACGAATATATATAATATATACACAATATATATAGTACATATATTTGAACCTACACTTGAGCGGATAAACTGTGTAATCTTTCTATGCGCACGAACTTCTCTTCAATAAGTTAAATCTATAATGACAAGATTTTGCAGTGCAATTTACGTTTTTAGCAACGAAAAGCAGACATTCATTCACTCCGTTTACTACTTTGCATATACATATACGTTTATGTGGCACTAACTATTCTAACATTGAGCAAAAAAGTTGAAATTAAAGTTCCACTCCTTCGACAGTATTTCGCACTTTAACTCACATATTCGCATGCTCCATTACTCAAGAATTTTGCATATCGCTCTGTATTTTCGTCACTTATGCCATTCTCTATGGTTCGGTTTCTGCTTTTGTTTTTTGGTTTTGGTGCTGTCTTTACCTCGAACGACCGCATTCCTACAAGTATTTCGCATATGCCACCACTTTTCGTATGAAATCACGATCTGTGCACGACTTTTCAAACTTTTTACTGTCTCTTCTAGCAATCTACAATCTAAAATTAATTTTTCAGATACATGTCGTTCAAACATGTGAGTTGCGCTGTCCTCCTCCTGGCCATTTTCTACATAATACTCGTATGATATCGCTCAGCCGGCACCTCGTCCATCCCTCTGCAATATTCTTCTGGCAAAATATGAGCAATAAGACGTCGCTGCACATATGTTCTACATTCCTCTGCATATCTCTATTTAGTCGCACACACGCACAACTTATGCATATAAATAAATTATTTATTGCTCGTATCTCACGTATGTATGTATGTATGTTTATTTATTTATCGACTATTTAGCTGCTTAATCGGATGCGTGTTTATCACCGAAACTTTGCTATTTTACTCTTGAGTATGCCGGTGCTGCGGCGTTTGTCATTGTGCCACCAGTTTCCACTTATTCACTGGTATATTTCGTGCCAGCTTAGCGTGTGTGTGGCACCCGGCACCCTACGGCACCTTATACACTCGCGTCAGCGTCGTTGTAGTCAACACTGGGTCCAATACACAGTACCAAAGCAAAGCTGATATCATATAGATCGACTAATAATAATCAGCTACCAGGATTTTCTAGACAAATACGTGGTGGAGTGTTTGCTTACTGATCGGGAAATTTCCATCGTCACAAGCAACAAAATTCGAACCGATTTTCCATCGCTTATGTCCCACAGCGTGCACGTCCGATGTGTGTCGCACTGTGAAGTGCATTACCACGGCCGAAGCTGGGGGCCATGCTCGTTGAATTTCACAATTCCTTTGCTTTTTCCGGTCGAAGTGCACTTCCGATTGAATTGTCTTCACTTTTCTATCTTGTTGGCCGTTCCTTCATTGGCTCACGTATACGCGCACCAACACAAGTGTATTTAGCGAGAATACGAACACATTCAGACTGACGTCGCATATACACATAAGTCCATACAAAATACATACTACGCACTACATATGTACATACATGCAGACGAATATATAATACATGTGCACAAACACTGAACCGCAGTGCACAATGCCCATTTTTCGTTTGCCGCAATGCCGCCCGTCATATGACGATGACGATAATAACAGTGCAAACAAGTACACACGGCAACAATAGAAATACTGTCAATATTTAAATAATGCCAAAAAATATCCGATAAGTCTGCGTTTTTTTTCTTTTTTTTCAAACTCATTTACGAAACGTGTAAACAACGCCCACAGCACTTCCAACTGATCCTTAGCAAATGTGCAGTTCTTACTATAGCGTTACTCCCCTCCATGTCTACTAGTTGGAAAATCAGCTGTCTGCCATCGGCGTTTGCATTCGGCGATGACCTTAAATAACTGCTTGGCCATCTGGTGTACTGTTGTGACTGACTAACTCTTGATGTCTGCTTCCAGTTTGAATGCTTTGGTAAGTCAATTTCTTTCTATGTGTGTGAATACCACTGCGTGCTAATTGACATCGAGCGACTAGTTTTAAGACGAACCGTTCAGACCGGCTGTGTCTGATCAAATGAGTGTTACTCGGTGCCGCTGTTCAATCAAAAGCAACCAGAGCCAGCTATTTGCCATAAAATTTCTTTCGGTTCGCGTTTACAAGTAAGCTTCGTGGTGTCTCTACTTGCACACTGAATGTAAATATGTATAGTGAATATATGTGTATATATGTATACATGTTTGTGTTGTTGCTTCGTCTGTGTTTGCGTCCAGAGAGCTAGCTACCCAATTCTAAATCAAGTGTGTAGATACTGTCAGTGCCAGAGTGTCGGAGACCGAGCGAGTATTTCTCCCACCGTCGTTTGCCAATGCCGGTAATCGCGTACGAATGCGCCGTTTTTTTTCATATTTTCTATATACCTTTTGTATGTACCCCTGCACATACATACAAACATGGACACACACACATATTTTTACTCATTTAGTTGCCGCTTGTAGCGAGAATGTTGGAGAAACCCGTCGTACGTCTCCTGTCTGGCAGATACTTCTTGTTGAACAACAAATGCCATCGGCATTGCCACTGCCACTGGTAACGCCGCTGCGTCTGTCTACTTCTGCGACAGCGACTCCATTGCAGCCACTAAGTCATCGTCATCGCCACCATAACCATAACCATCACGACCGGTGTTATGACCATATTCTTGGGGTATTTAAGTTTACTCTTTCTGATTCTGTTGCTCTTGCTCCTGCTCTTGCTGCCGCTTTGTTTGACAATGGTAGTGAGTAAGCGCCGAAACCCGATTATGCACGAATGTTTACATGCGTACGGCGTATGCGAGGTTTTCTCACTTGCAACGGTTGCACATGCACGTCTGTGCTTTAAGTGCAATACTAGTGAGGGGGAGTCACAAAGTTTCGACAACACAAGGAAGTTGACGTTGAAGCCAGCACTATGGCATGGAAGGATCCCAACCAAAATCAACAGCTGATCTTAATGAGCACAGCTTAAAAATCTGTTCAGTGTAAAAAGATATTACAATACATTATAATTATTAATTAATTAAATACATAATTGTTAATTATGTATACATTGAAGTACAGTATTTACTGAAAGTTTTTTTTCCCCAAATTTAGCATAAGAATGTGAAAAGTACGTAATATAGACACAATGAAAATTATAAGTAATAATAATAAAACAGTCGAACTTGCGAACTTTTATCATTCCCCAACTGGTTAATCATTTGTCTGTTGTGAATCATTGCTTAATCCTTTCTTAATTTTTTAAAAAACAAAAAAATTCTACACAAACCGTTATTAAAGTATCAAAATATCTATTTTTTTTTATATATAGATATCTTACCTGCATATACATATATATAATTCGATATAATTTTGAGCTTTCAAATATTTAAAAATTATTGCAACTGTTTCTATACAGTACTTATAGGTGTACAAGTTTGGGTCAGTTTTGAAGCAGATCATTAATGGAATCAGCAGGCTAACGCAGCATGCTGTAACTGGGTATATAGACGTTGACCAATTCAAATACCACTATATGACTTGCACTATTTCAGGAGCGGCCGTGGGCGCATCTCGTTAATAAATTACAATCGAAAACTATTTAAGGCTTCTACGAACTTAATCAGATTACGAATACCGCGAAAACTACAGGATTTTCCGAGCAAAATTAGTGAATGTTAGAAGCTGATAGTTTTGCTAACAAATAGAAATTTTGATCACATCAAACATGCCAAAATTAAGTATTTTACAAAGTATAAATTGAAATTATGGTATAATAAACAAATATTTATGGAAGATCAACATCTGTTCGGGAGTCTTTGATCAGATGATGAAGAAATATATTATTATGCGTAGAGTATAAATAAATGGTAATAGTACTGCATTGTGAAACACCCTTCATGGGTAGCGTCATTTAATATTCGGAAAATATTACGTTATTTATAGCTTACTTGCAGACAGCTGCAAGTGCTTCGTTCTAATGTTTCAATATCTTCAATTCGATAGCTAAAAATCTAAATGTATACCAATCCGAGCGAGCTAAACACGTTTTTTAATCAAAATTAAGTCCGCCTAAGAAATTTACGAGTCTGAATAAATACCTATGATATATTCACACAAATACACGTATTTATTCAAATATACGTATATTTAATAATCTGATAAATTTTTTATAAAGAAATATAAAAATAAAAATGCAATTCGTTTATTTATTTTGTAAAAAGATCTATTATTATACTTTAAACTAACTTTCCATTATATCTACATATTTCAATATTTACACATTATATATGTTTACTATTAATATTTTAAATTTAACAATATCAATTTTGTTTGTTGAAAATTGTGAATGAATTGGTGAGTGGAGCAGCTCCCAACAATAATTATCTAAATATTTGGTTTAATAATATACTATATACAATGTTTGTGCAATTGTTTTGAACGCCAGTCATATTTGATATAAGCAATAAATTTAAAGAGAGTTCAGAGCTTATAAGGAAAACAAAAAAAAAAACAAAAAACAACAGTGATTGTGGAGATCACCATTTCCACTTGAGTGGGTTGCACTATGACTCTCTATGAGAGTGAGTTGACACGATAAATATTGGTGCAATATTTAAAAGCCGCAGCTTAATATATTCACTGTTGCCAAATCACGGTGTAATTATAAAATTATATTCATTAACTATGTACACTGTGTCTAAGCACATCACTTATTGGCTATATATTATAATCAATGCACGTAGATGATGACTATCGCCTCCGTACGGGAAGTTAGAACCTACTATTATGGGGAGTTATTAGTTTGGGTTGGCACAAACGGACTCCAGCGTAGACAACTGTCGTCGATTTTTGGAAAATTGCCCCGTTGCTTAACACGTTTCTCATATTCGTCGAGTACATCCTAAGATTACAAGAAAAAATATTTTAAGAAAATTAGTGTTAATTTTTTTAAAGGCTCATTAAGCTAATTTAGTAAATTTTGAAAGATAAAAAGAGTAACTTTTTTTTTCATTTATGTAGGTTTGTACTCACTTGCTTTTTAAGTACGATATGCTTGCCTTTCCAATACTTCATCATGCCTAAGGCTTGCAATGTGCTCACGATATCGTATGAATATATTGCCGTTTCCTGCACGATATAAAAGAAATAAAGCAGAATAAATGATTCGTGAGCAGAGGACAATTCGTATGGACCACACTTTTGTAAGGAATTTTCACGCTTCGAATATTACCTGCGATACATCTTTAATGCTCAAGGTGTTTCCGGTTCGCGTGCACAGATAATCCAGCAACACATCTTTCCAATAAGACCGATAGGATATCAAACCCAAGTCCGACAGTGGTTTTTCCGGCGATCCAATTTTGCCCTCCACTCTAGTCAGTAGGTAACCTATGTAGGTGTGAATAAATAAGAAGTGATAAAAATTTGTTCAAATACAATTTCGTACATTCCTTGTCATTTGTATAACTAGTGAGAGTACAGGGTCATCGTGTGAACGCCTTCAAGTTCTTTGGCATCACGTGTCTACCCTCAAACTCAATGAATAATCTTTTTTGCCTGTCTGCTGCACTGCTCAACCCCACGTTTTGACCAACTTTGTCATTCCCCGTAATAAAACGCCATCCACATGCGTCTAGACAGACCAAACTTAAGGATGAGTACTTCAAATGTCGATATACAAATACTTTTATTTATATACTACACCGCTTTAACGGGCAAAACCCTGGACGAGCGGACGAATGTTGCAGGAACAGTACAATTCTATTCCGTCATTCAACTTTTGCAAAAGCTTTTGCGACAGCGCCAGCAAGCGTCCATTCAACCCACGCACCTTATATACCGTCAGTGTGTTTGTATGTATGCTCAGTTGTGCAGCTCAGCTTATAATATTGCACACTTTGTGACATACACATACATACATACAAAGAGTTGTACATTGTCAGCAGAATTACATTTGCCACCGCAGCATATGGGGTAGTGCTTAGTAGGGTTTGTGTTGTAGCAATTTATGCTTTTGGCGGTTGGCGTCTGAAGTTCTACGGAACCCCAACTCACCTTAACACGAAACTTGCTGTGGCAGTCTCAAACGGTAAACGGGGTTGAATTCTTTCTGTGCGTTGCACCGCACAACAACACAAGCCATGTCTACTGCAGCACCACGGCTGCAGCGCTTGCTCTGCTCTGCCACACCCTGTCCTGCATTTTGCGGCAGACGTACGCTCACCCACATACCCCAAAGGCGGTAGCACACCCGCATGGCACACCCCGAGTGCGAGTAATACTACGTAAGGCAACGAAACCAAGGCTGCTTTGATTTTTCTTTCCAGCACAAGCACAGCAGTCTGTACATACACACGCACGTGCATGCATACATACAAACAAAACAGCACTTGCACGCGTACAGGCGCGGTATGGGCATGGTGAATGACGAGACGACTTTATCGATCCATGTGCAAGCGTAGCCAAAAGTGTTATTGTGCCGAAGTCAAGAACCGACTACTTAGATAAACCGACTGATAGGTGACTGCAGAAGAAACAGCTAACATGTACACTGCGTATTAAACGCCTGGAATTATGCTTCAAAAACTCGTGTTAGCAAATTGACGCCAAGAAATATGCAAAAAATGCCTTTGAAGGTACTAAAGCGCGAGTAATCGTGCTCGCTACCGATTGTGCCGTTCACAGTTTCTATGCTAATCTTTCAAATTTTGCCAATTTAACGTTTGCTATGCACTATGTGTGCGTGAAATGCCACTACGCAGCTAAGTTCACAAGTAACCGGTACTCAGCGAATCATTTGCTGCCTGTACCATAACAAGGACGACGCCCTTTCATTGTGACCTGTCCTGACCTTTGTTGTCTGCTCAACACTATGTACTTCGCCGTCATCAGCAACGTCGCCACCATCGCCGCCGCCGCTGTTGTCGCCGCCACTGTCAACACAAACAAAATGACAATTACGCAAATCAATAAAATAAGAACGCAATAACGCATTGTAGATTTATTAATAAACGCGAGTTTTGCCAAATTTGCATTGCTCCGCTACAACAAAGAAATAACTTTTCGTCAATGAGTACACACACTTTTCGTCAATGAGTATACAACAAACATGAAAAAATGCAATTTTGTACGCACTTAGCCACAAACGCAAGCCGGTTGGTTCGCCTGAATGTAAAATAAAACTATTTAGCTCGAAAGAACAACATTCGTTCGGAGGGTAGCGGATTCAAACCCTGATCATGACAACGGCTGCTAATAAAGCAAACTTTTTAAGAGGCTTTCGTCTTTCGCGGAAGATTATCGAACGCGGTGGAGCATTTTCGACAGGCAAAACAAGTAGCGCTTTCAGATAGTCATACAACATACATACATACATACATATGTATTTATATACGTCCATCGAAACTTTGCTGGTCGAAAATATGTATATATTTTTTTGTGGCTCGGCTTAGATAGAGCTTAGACACAAAATCGTAACGTTCGTTCAGCACAAACGAGAATTTAAGCCAAAAAACGTTTTAAACTTTGCCGGACCATAAATATCTTAAAGATCTTGAAATCTGCTGATCTTGAATTTCATGAAATATTTTGCTGACTCACGCACGGGACACAGAAACAGAAATGTGTGTACAGTACAGTAATTATTTTTTTTTTATGTTCTCACTCACTCTTAGATTCACTTTCCCTGTGTTTTTTTGTTTATTTGAAACTCCTGACAACCTAACAACAACTATTTAACGCATTTTTTCAAAAAAATTCTTTTACTTTTACTGGTAGATATTTGGAGAAATACTTTCGGATAACCCTTTTTAATTAATTACCCTCTTTTCTATTAAGCGAACGGTTTGAAGCCAAGTCCATGATTTTAAAATGTTTTTTGAAATTTCATTGGTGACCACTTTAGCCAAGTGCGCCGGGAAGCAGTTTTTCGAACGTGAGAAAACAATTCTACGGACCAAATCAAAAGTGGTGCGACGAATTGTATGCTGAAAAATTGAAATAAAGCAAGTGTATAAAAAGAAAAAAGGCTAAGTAAATACATTTCGACACTTTCTCCATTGAAACACTTTTAATGTCATATCAACAGTTAACTGGGTGAATTGACTGGAATCGAAATTAGGCGCCTCAGCGCTTTGACAATACATGAGGGTCTCTTGCTGCATTCCTAGAAGTTATTGGCATTCTTAATAACGGATGTTTTCAATTGTCAAAAAGTAGTAGTCACATGATCTTGGAATCCCTTCCGAAGCCTAATACACCAAGCTAACTTAAGTACAATACAATGGACATACAAATATGTATGGTATATCAATAACTACGTGTGCCTAACTGCATTGGTTTTTTTCCAGAGTTTTTTAGCGAATTTTCATGAAACCCGAACATTCAGCGTTTTACCGTTATGCAAATAAATATTTTCACCAGCTACAAATTTTGAGTAAAATAAACGGCGCTTGGCAGACCAGTGGCAGTATCACTTTGTACTAGGTGCGTATACGCACATATCAATCAGTGTACGAGTATGTGTAAATATGTGTATGTGTGTATCAAATACTTTTGTGCAATTTATGAAGACTTTTTTTAAGGATTCTCCTTCCGCATTTGAGAATTTAAAAAGACCCTGCCTGGGCCCGGGAAATGATTGAATTTGTATGTATCGGCTGTCTGAGCTGGCGCATAACAACAACAAAAGGCCAGTAAGTGCAGACCACACGACAGAGTGAATCTAAACGCCACGAACGGCCAGATATGGCGCTACAACTGATATATGACTTTTTCTGCATGCTTATCTACACATATGTACATATATATTTGTATATATATGTGTGTGTATATAAATATATATATATTACCTTTGCATGCATACATATGTATATTCGTGCAGTGCATATATTAAATTAGTATCTCGCAATGGCACATAAGCCCAAACACGAGAATATCAGCAATGTGAAGTGGTGTAAGGTCAATGTCGCTTGAAACGAAACGAAACTCTGTACGTCTCTGCCGCAGACGTATGCCCAGTCTGTGTGTGGCGAGGCAACAACAAGCGCCAACAAACGGCCGCCACCATATACATGCATATGTATGTATGTATGTGCATAGCTACTGTGTACATACATATGTACATGCAAGGCAAGCACGTTACACCCAGTCGGCGGCTCACGGTAACAAGGAAAAGCGACGAGGCGACAAGTCGGCAAATTGGCAAGCCGGCAAGGCAAGGTATGCCGGTGCTTTCGCCTTTGTTCTTGTTGTTACAGCTGGTGATTGTCAGGCGTTGCATTGTCGGTGCACTGTGATTCACATGCATTCAATAAGAGGGAATGGGCAACGGTTAAAGACCGACTATATATGCGGCGATACAGCAATATGTAAGATTATACACGTATGTACGTCGGCATTGGTTTGCCCTGCTGGAAAAACAAGCACTCAGGCGTGAAGGAAGTTGTTATATTTTATCAAAAATCCCGCATAGTTTTAGAAATATTGGATATGTGGTTGTTGAAGTAAGAAACATTCAGGAATAGGTTTGAGAAATACTCGTCGTGCTCATAAATAGTTTCGGTTGCGTGGGCTCGATTACCAAAGGATATCGATATCGATTGCTGTAGAAATCAAACAAAATATCTGAGAAACTATTATTTGAGCTGTAGTTTTCTAACATGTAAATTCAATTTAATTACAAAAAGTTACGTTTTGGTTTGATTATATTGAAGGGATTTGTCTAGAGGCTCTACAAAATTTTCTTTTGAGGCATTACAGCGGACGTGTATATAGACTAGAATTTTACTCATAATATAATATATAGGTAGCTAAGTATGTATGTATGCATGAGTGCTTGTATTATACTGCATTTCTATCTTTGATGGTGTTCTTGCAGACACTTTGTGTGAATAGTCGAACAAGATCTCCATCAAAGAGCCAAAAACCGAAGCAGTTGCAATGACAGCAGTAGGTGTGGCATAGCAATGAATTTTCAAAGCATAAAACCAAAATTTTATTAATAATGAATAAAAATACAAACATGTCTTCGGAAAAATATATGTACAAGTATATGTACGTACCTATGTAGGTAGCAATAATTTGCGAAAATGTCTGCAAACGATTAGCTGAGCATCACGCTTTTTATTGAATTGCATTACTGACTCATCAACTTATTAATTGGTTTTTTTTTTTTCTTTTTTTAATGTAATGAATGAAGTGACTAATCACAGTACATAATATCGTATATTTAGCGTGGAGAAAGCAATTTTTGGAGTTTGTAATGCTATATTCCTTGCAATACAGTATTTGTAAAACTATAGGATGCTTGAACCAATAGCAGCCAACTGGTGCAAGGTACAATGCATCGGTTCCCACAAAAATCGAGTTTACGAAACCGGACGAAGCCGATTTAATATCTGATGAAGCATTGGCAGCACGGCCGTATTACTCAATATTAATTAACATGCAACAAAACAAGAGGAATATAGTATGGGTCTCAAGCGGAGACATTTTGGCTGTTGTGATTGAAGTTTAGTGAAAGATCGTAATAACGCAAACTACTAATCCTATATAAGAAGACACATATGTATGTCAGTCTTACTCTTGTGAGACTATAAAAAAATATAACGGAACTGGTAGAAATTTAAAACTAAAATATAAAATACTTATATTAAATTATATAACTAATTTGGCGGTTTTAAAACCTAAAATATATACCCTGAATTTATATTGTATTTAAATAGCTCGCGAGTCGTACAGACATATGTAGGTAATTCGTCAAATGAAGTGGAATTAAGCCGCCACCACAACAACATTTAATATACATTTAAATTAAAATTGATACACATAATTCATAATCAACATTTATGTACGTAGATATGTATGTACATATATTATACTCACTAAAGTCAATCAGTAGGCGTCCGTAGCCCTTCCGTTGATATGGTGGGAGAGTTAAAATGCACGAAACGTTGTAAAATGAATTCTTTTCCTGAAAAAATACAAACAATTATTAAATCATAAATGTGCAGCCATTAATGCAAATTCAAATTAGTTTAAAAAAAATTGAAAATGTCAAAAGTTACTAACAGCTTGTTTGCTAACATGAAAAATTCAGATTAAACAAAAACAAAAAAACACAGAAAGGAATTTAAAAAAATTAATAAGCTAACAATTTTTTTTTGAATATTTCCGTTTTGTGTATGGAGTAACAGCTCGAGCTGTTTATACTGCCTCTCGATATTCTGTTTACTTAATAACTTAAATTTAATTTAGAAATTCTGTAACCTCCTGAAAAACGCCTTTACTGCCTATAAAGTATATTATGCTATTTATTAAAGTTCTATTTGTACATATGTATGTAAAACAAGACAAAAAATAGCATATATTTTTCACAACAAATTTAAACAAGGAACAGCATTTTGAACAGTCACACAAAAGTTTGCATTTTCGGGGTTCATTGACCACAACATATCGATAGTAGACACTTAAGTGGTGTGTAAAGTGAAGGGCGCCGCCGTTGCGGCTAGAGCGCGCTATCTAGGTGTGTATGTGCCATGAACGTATGTATGTACATAAATTTAGGTTGTGTCTGGGCGTATACGTACCCTGGCCCATACCAGCACTCAAACGCGGTTGCGAAAAAAAGCAACCACCATGTTGTTCAGACTGTCGGCGGAGACAATGTCAGCATCCTTTAAGTGGGGCGAATGAAGTCTCACACCGTTCGACATGCCGGTATCCATGCCATTGCACTCGAAAACTCCAAAGCCAGACAGAAATATCCATGCAACAACAAAACAAACAAACAAATAGAAAAATACACACGCTCCAAAAATAACCGAAAAAAAACAACCGAAAATTTGACGCGTATGTAGTAATAGCAACAAAATGGAGTAAGTTGCAGCTGCTACATTTGCTGCATCCTTTGTGATGCTGCCCAAACGTCCAGGGCAGCGCAAGCGTTTTCCCCGGCTTATAAACTCCAGCTTGCCAATAGATATGGCGATTTGCCATTGTTCGTTACGTATGCACATACATATGCATATATGTACATAGGTGCTCCCTCAAAAGTACGAAAAGGTTCACGACCTCATTACGTTGCACCCAGTCGCAGAGAGCAACTGTGCGCGCACAACCCCTGCTCCCCACTCAGGTTGCATGCCGCTCGTCGTTCATTGGCTGCAAACCGAAGCTTCCGATTTCGCGTCTGCGCTGGCAACGACGACGTAAATTACTTACTTACATATTGCATATGCATGTGTGTATGTGCATAAACATAGACTTGCATGTCGAACGGGCCATAGGGAGAGGCAGTGGTTGAGACCGAATTCGAGACTATTACTGTCGATACTGACTACGACGCGTTCACTTGTCTGCTCTCTTCCCAATCGTCTGCGATTTGTCTACCGTTTGTTGTTATTTTCATTGTTATTATTGTTGTCGTTACTGTTGGCATAGCAAACGAGTGCCGTCTGCCTTTAATGTCTGCCAGCTATGGCTTAACAGCGTGGAGCGGGTGCTTCTGGTTTGAGTGGTTCGCTTGCTGAATGAGAATTTTGTTGTTTGTAACAGTGGAGTCTCATTCCTAGGGGAATACCCACTGAAAAACGTCCATATGTATGTGTGGGAATGTTGCTACTTATATATATATATAAGTATATATATATAATGAATGTGCATAAATATGTATTTATATAAATGCTTACAACTCCAACTTATACTCATGCATGTGGCTGCTACTCAACCTCTGTATTCAAGCGAATTTCGTCAACGATTCGGCAACCAATAGAATGCAAAGCTTTGAACCTACCACAAACGCATAGCCGAAACAGTAACACTCCGAAACCCTCTTTTGCATTGTGCACACGCATCCTTACAACTACACCAAATCACACATTCATCACAGCTCACATCCCGACCTACTCTACTCGCCAACCTGCTCTTAGTTCGTAAACCAATACAAACAAATCTAGTGGATGTGAGTATCCATAAACGTTTAAAAATACTGCATAGTAGAAAACTACGCTTTTTTCTTTTATTCGAAAGGAGGTAATCAGGCATATGCAGATGCGCGTAGACCTGAACGCACTATGTACTGTGTATGTAAGACCCTATGCACCCATAACTCAAATAGAAGAGATGGATTTCATTTTTTAAGTAGTAACTCGATAGAATTTGACAGACTTTTCCAAACTTTGATCACCCGGTACAAAATTCACACGACAGTTCGGTCTATATAACCGATACGGGCCCGGATATTTATCCTGTCGAGGACTGTCAACTCCACAGCATTCCACAAAATTATTTGGAGAATATTCCCTATCGCTACAACAACAACACAGTGGTGCCTCAATAGTCACTGTCAACCACAGTAAGACCGCGACATGCGCAATTTGTAACACAAACCCAGTCTGCTGTTGTTCTCTCGAGTCGTTATATGCATTCCCGGCTACTACTGCACCACTGCAATACAAAAAAATCAATGATATTTTGTCGTGCCGGTCAGCACCTCCTCCTGCCACATGCCAGTCGCTGTTCATGCAATTTGTTCTCACACCAATGGCATGACCCAGACATGCGCGTACATCAGAAGCTCCGGCAAACAGCCACGAATTGTAGTCGGGGCAGGTCGAGGAACTGAGGCGCAAATTGTGTGCATATTTTACGATTACAGTTACAATGTTTTTGGGTATGGTCAAGAACAAAGTGCATACTACTATCGTTGCATAGTATTATGGGTGTGAAAAAATCCACATACATTTACAGTTACTACTTTTGTAACCAAAATGAAAATTAATTGTATGTGCATATGTATGCATGTATGTATACTAAGTATCTTATGATTTGAAACTTCAAAACCACTTTTTGAAGCAACAAAATCAGCTGTATTCAAAGTAATTTTGTCCAATTGGACTTCTTATTGGAATTTTGATTAACGTAATGAATATTCATATACGTTCTCTGGTAAAATTACAAAAACTGCAGTATTCCTGCACTTAAATTTAATTTATATAAGCATATACATATTTACATATTATATATAGAAAATCAGTCTATAAGTGTTAACAGAATAAAAGTAAGGTGTTAGTATTTTTTAATAATCATATACATACTATGTATGTACATATATACCATACAAATGTATATATGAAATATCATTATATCAAGTTTTCTTATGAAATGTAATTCGAAATCGAAAAGTTACATTTCATGATAATTCTATTTAGCTTGAATTTAACTTACCTTACTGAAGTATCCAACCGTGTGACAGCCATCGACATCAGCCAAGGTCATTATGTAAAAAAGGAATGGCTCCACATCATAGTACAGGGTTTTATGGTCCAAAAAAAATTTCGCCAGGAGGCACAAATGTTGACAGTATTGCTTGTGTCGTTTACCGTCTACTTGCCACACTTGCAGCTTGCCTTTTCGATATATTTCATCACCTGGCGGATGGCGCCATACACATTTCTCGGCATGCCGCTTAATACCAGTTTCAGATTTTTGATATCTTAAACAAAACTCACATATATACATTTGAGGTAGACGCGCAGCGTCGTCGGGGTAGGGAGATTGATACCAAACTTTCATCTTGTATTTGCCCATTGTTATATATCTGAAAATGAATTTGCATAAATTTAGCTTTTATAGTATTTTTTATTATTATTTATTGACTTACTTAATGCCTTTTCCTACAGGCAGATCTTTCAATTCATCTTCAACTCTTTCGGATGCGATTGCCTGGGCATCGCGAAACAATTGTAGATCGTAGTCGGGTACTAAGCCGATTAGGCTAGGTTCCCGATCTTCATCAGTGCAATCCTTTTCAAGTTTGACCTTCTCTGTATTTATGGCTGCAGCTATTGGACGAAATCTGGTTCGTGACTCACGAATCTTCGTCAAAAAGTCGGTTTGTTCAGGAGTGCGCTGTTTCTGATTGCTTCCATCAGCATTAGTTGCATTGCAATCATTAGTAAGTATGCGCCGTTCATTTCGTAATTTTCTCTCATTAGCACGTTCCTTACATTCGGATGCCGACATGTTATGATAAATTGGACAGGCTTCTGGTAAAAAATGTCTGTCTAAAGTTCCGCTCAAATGTCCCGAAGAATCACATCCTTCTATGGGACACTTTTTTTCTAAATGTTGTGGCGGTGACAGTGAACGTGGTTTGGCCGAGTTTGTACAAAACACTCCAGTCTCTTTCTTTACCTTGCATTTACTACCGCCACTAGAGGAAACACAACGTTTTGCGGGGCTTTTGGATAGAGAATGCTTTTCCATATCTAAGTCGGCATCAGATTCACTCTCTGTCCCGCCCCCGACGCCAGCAGACGATTTTTGTTGTTGCCTGGAACGCCGAGTGCTAAGCGAACGAGTAAGTTTACGAGGAGCCTCATCATCCGAATCAGAATTCGTAACTTTTACCGCGGTAGGCGCTCGTTTTCCTTTAACTGATTTCACTGGTTGAGTATCGTAGGAGTTACTGCTCTCAGTTGCTTCTGACTCACTTGAAGTAGTGGATTTTCCACTTTCTGACTCAGAATCTTCTTCATCGTCTTCTTCCGAACTTTTATTCTTACTTTTTGTAACCACATTACGCTTAGGCTGTACTTTAGATTTCGATTGTTTTGGTCGATTGTCCGAGTTATTACCAACTGCCGCAGTACCAGCCTGTGCAGAGAGTTTTACTTGGCCTTTACGTTCAGACTTGTTGCGACTAGATGGAAATACTTCTCGATCTGATTCATCTGATCGTTGCGGTGATTTAGCAGTCGTATTTTTCTTCCCATCTAAGCCCGTATCAGCATTGGCAGGAACGTTTTGTGACTTCGGGTTATTGCCAGAGTTTTTAGTTGCCTGCGTATTTAATCTTCCAGAATTGTTTTGTGGCGCTTTACCACCCGTCGCACGTTGATTACCTTGACTTTGAGTTGCAGATACACTTGATGCCGAAAGTTTACGCTTTTGTATGGTATTGTTTGTTCCAGATGGTCTTGTCGACTTTTTACTGAGTGGAAGTTCTTCATCACTTGATGGGTTGCTTACACGAGTTTGTCGCAAAGTTGTTGTGTTACTGTTATTTGGTCGTGTTTTAGAAGAGACTGGTTGATTAGAAGAAACTTTATCGGAATTGTCTGTTTTCGCAGTGGTTTTTAATTCCGAACTCTTACGACGAGTATTTGCTTGGCTTTTAGTTGTAGAAGGTACTTCTTCACCGCCACTTTTTTCATCAACGGAACTACTTGATTCAGTGTCGGAAGAACTACTGCCAGAATTAGAGCAGCTAGTACTGCCACTGGAAGAACTGCCGGATGAAGAACTCGAACTGCTTTCTGTTGTGCTAGTGCTCTAAATGAAATTTATTACCAATTTAGTTGAACTAAAGAATATATTTTTAGTACCTTTTTCCGGAAAGACGACATTTTGTTATGTTCTTTACGCTACACAATGGTGAAGGAACAAATTAAATAAGTTCAACTTTTAGTAAAAATTTATTTTGTTTATATGAACCATTGAGATGTGAAAATTGTAAACGAATGCTACTTCTTAAATTACTATCATTCACAATACAATATGAACAGATTAAGCTATGTAAAAATTCTTACACAAGCTTTGTCAAAATACGTATTTCAAGATTTTCTAGTGTCTGTATGAATACCACCCTTTATAGGAAAATATAAATTGAGAACCATAAAAGTTTTTTAAATATTTCAACGCAATGTAGGAAATTGAAAAAAAGCTTGTCAATGATTCTTGATATACACATTAGGAAGCTAGCGTGTCAAAATATTACGATTTTGTTTTATTGTGAATCACAGAGGTAAAGGAAGATGAATTCAAATGTCAAATATTTGTCAGCGAAACAGCAGTGTAGTTTAATAAACGTTTTCATTCATTTTCATATTATCAACTCCGTGTTTTTATAGGAAATAAGATTTGGGCAGGAAAATATGGTTAACGATAAAAGACGCCGTTCGCATTCAAGGGAACGTCGAGATAGAGACCGAGAGAGAGAACGTGAACGTGACCGTGATAGGGATTATGAGCGGGAGCGTGACCGAGATCGAGGCCGCGACCGGGAACGGGAAAAGGAACGTAATAGACCCCGTTCAAGGTCTCGAGGAAGAGATCGAGATAAGGTCGCCGACAAACGTCGTTTGGAAGAAAAGATGAAAGATGAAAAAGAGGAGAAAAAGCTTAACATCAAGGAAGATTTGGAAATGGAAGATGTCAAATTGCATGACGAGAAAAACAAATCGACTAAAAAGGAACCGCTTTCACTAGAGGAACTACTTGAAAAGAAGAAAAAAGAAGAGGAAACAAGAAGCAAGCCTGTGTTCTTGACCAAAGAACAAAGAGCAGCTGAGGCCTTGAAACGACGTCAGGAAGAAGTGGCTGCCATGCGTAGTGCTCAAAGTGCTGCAACGGCTGCTGCAATCGCTGGCACTGATACTGCCAATAATGGGATGTCATTCACACAACTTAAAAATGAAAGAATAGATCGCAAAGATCGCGAACGAGATTATGATCGTCGTGATCGTGAAAAAGGAAGAGAACGGGACAGGGATCGAGACAGGGAACGTGAGAGAGATAGAGACAAGGATAGGGATAGAGATAGTAAACGCGCCGAAGACCTTTCTCACAAGGATAAAGAAAAGGAGTTGGAAGCGATACGTGAACGCTATTTGGGTATTATAAAGAAAAAACGACGTGTACGTAGACTTAATGATCGGAAATTTGTGTTCGATTGGGATGCTGGAGAAGACACCTCTATAGATTATAACAACTTATATAAAGAACGACATCACGTACAATTTTTCGGTCGTGGTAATGTTGCAGGAATCGATATCAAAGAACAAAAGCGTACACAGAGTAAGTTTTATGGAGATCTATTGGAGAAACGACGTACAGAAGCCGAGAAGGAGCAAGAGAAGGTGAGGCTAAAGAAGGTAAAACGTAAAGAAGACAAGCAGAAATGGGATGATCGACATTGGTCTGAAAAAGCTCATGATGAGATGACCGAACGCGATTGGCGTATTTTCAGAGAAGATTACAATATTACTATTAAAGGTGGTAAGATTCCGAATCCAATACGTAGTTGGGCGGAATCAGGTTTTCCAAAGGAAATAATAGAAATTATTGATAAAGTGGGTTATAAAGAACCTACACCTATTCAAAGGCAAGCAATACCAATTGGTTTGCAAAATCGCGACATCATTGGTGTTGCAGAAACTGGTTCGGGTAAAACTCTAGCATTTCTTATACCTCTGTTATCATGGATTCAATCACTACCAAAAATAGAACGACTTGAAGATGCGGATCAAGGACCGTACGCTATCATAATGGCACCAACACGCGAATTGGCACAACAAATAGAAGAAGAAACTATTAAATTTGGCCAACCACTGGGTATCCGAACGGTGGTTGTGGTAGGTGGTTTATCACGAGAAGAGCAAGGCTTCCGCCTCCGATTGGGCTGTGAAATTGTTATTGCAACACCCGGTCGATTAATCGATGTTTTGGAGAACCGATACCTAGTTTTGAGCCAATGTACATATATAGTATTGGACGAAGCAGATCGTATGATTGATATGGGTTTTGAACCCGATGTTCAAAAGATTCTTGAATACATGCCGGTAACAAACTTAAAACCCGATAGTGAGGAAGCTGAAGATGCGAGTAAATTGATGGAAAACTTTTACTCTAAAAAGAAGTATAGGTTAGTGTTTGACATTATTTAACGTTATTCTTAATTATAAAAGTCACTTTTTTTTTTGTTTATTTTTTTTTTTAGACAAACTGTAATGTTTACCGCTACTATGCCTCCAGCTGTGGAACGATTGGCAAGATCGTATTTGCGGCGACCAGCGACTGTGTACATTGGTTCTGTAGGCAAGCCAACTGAACGTACAGAGCAAATCGTATTCATGATGGGCGAACACGACAAGCGTAAGAAATTGATGGAAATACTTTCCAAGGGAATCGAACCGCCCGTCATTATTTTCGTCAATCAAAAGAAGGGCGCCGATGTTTTGGCCAAAGGTTTGGAAAAATTGGGCTACAACTCATGTACGCTTCACGGTGGAAAAGGGCAAGAACAACGTGAATATGCACTTGCAGCACTTAAGTCCGGTGCCAAAGACATGCTCGTCGCAACAGATGTCGCTGGTCGTGGTATTGATATCAAAGATGTTTCTCTAGTCATCAATTATGATATGGCGAAAACAATTGAAGATTACACACATCGTATCGGTCGTACGGGACGTGCAGGCAAGAATGGTGTAGCGATATCATTTGTTACCAAAGATGACAGTGCTCTATTCTATGACCTTAAACAATGTGTAATGGCTAGCCCGGTTTCGATTTGTCCACCAGAGCTCATGAATCATCCAGATGCACAGCATAAGCCGGGCACAGTGGTCACTAAGAAGAGACGAGAGGAGAAAATATTTGCTTAAGTTAAGACAACTCCTGTAAGCTGTAGTGTTTTCTAAACGTTTTGTCATCCGGTTTTAAATAAATTAAGGTACATTTAACTATGTTTAATGCAAGACATTTAACGCACCGATTACAAAAATATTATATCTTATTTTTTTTTATTAAATTTATATAAGTTATAATGCCAATTTCATACATAACGCAATGCTATGATCTTAAAAGCCTTAAAAAGAAAGCAGTTCGACTTTGCTTAGAATTAATGGGTAAATATTTCTCATAAAAATCCAGTATGATTTCCTCCATTTTAAAGCCGAATTTTTGGTATAGCACAATGGCGGGATTAGACGCGGATACATGCAACGTTATATCCTTTGACATACAAGTCTAAAAATACAAAATTTAATATACTTATGTTTAAATGACTCATATGAAATTTCAAGAAATAAGTTACCTGTATGAGATGATATAACATAAATGTACCTATGCCGCAACGTTGCCAATTAGGTCGAACGGCCATGAAGGAAATGTATGCCTCATTGAAACCGACATCAGGTACCAGAAAACCACAACCGACTACCAACTTTTTGTAGAGTGCTACCACACTGTAATCCGGATAGCTAAGGCATTCAGACACTAAGCAATCATAAAATAATTATGTGTTAAGTGTGTGGACTTGAGTTAATTGAAGTCACTTTTGTCTTACTGTCGATCCCAGGCCAAAAGGTTGTTTGTAGTAAAGCATTTACTGCGGCAATGTGATTAGGACGCACATAACAAAAATCAACTGTTGAGCGAAACGGATACCGTTTATTAACAGTAAATTGGAGCTCGCACATTAGCTGCAAAGTAGAAGTACAAATTTTATTTATGTATATCCAAAGCTAAAAAACAGTAGCAAAAGTATACCTTCAACCAAGGAGGAGCTATTTCTTTGTCTCTGTAGATGAACGGATGTAAAATGCGGCGAGAATATGGCGATTCAAACATTTCGTAGTCAAAAGATCCAGTGATTCGGGCATAAAATGATTTGCGTTTGTTTTCCGACGTTAGTGTTATAAGCTGCAAAATTTTTAAGTAAGCGAGGCTTAATCGTTTATTACTGCACTTCTACTCATCATTTCTTATCAATATTCAACATACCTGATATCTATCAAGGATTTGTGCTTTGGCTTCGTGTGCTAGTAAATCGGTGTTCTTGCCATTTATTTTATCGTCTAAGTTGAAAAGTGGCTTGCCATGTTCACGTTTCCATTCACGGACACAAAGTTTTCTGTAGAATCGCCGTACATATGCCGGAATATCAATTTGGCATTTTTCTTCCATCGCAAATATTTTACGTAGCTTTAATAAAAGTTCGGTTTCTTCGTATTCACTCATCATTGTTAAACTGTAATGATCATTATGACTTTAAAAACATTTAAATCTTTATTTTTTATTATAGCATTTACCTTTCATTTTCCTCAAACTGCTTCTTTTCAATGGTTTGGTTGTCTATATGATCTTCAGATACCTCATCTTCTTCTATCAACCACGGCCAGTTCCGCCGTGGTATTTTTGTGAATAGACTAGGTTTACAAACACCCATAACGGTCGTATTTTCCTCAGCCTCATTATCCGATTCAAGATTCTGAACTGTTTCCTTAGCTTTGCAAGCGACATCTTCGTTTTCTGATTGTTCTGCCTCAGATTTTATCTCTTTTTTGATTGTGTGATCTAATTGAGATAACAATGATTGTTCGCCTACCGAACTGCTCAGCTCTTTTCTTGGAGATTGGTTGAGCTGTTGAAAATTGGTTACTTGCACTATGCGCGGTTGATATTCATCGTCGTCATCTGGATCATTACTGTACTCAGATGGCGTTTGCATAGAATCGTCCTGACAGCTGCAAAGAATTTGATATAATATGGGCAATAAGGTTTTATAATAATTTACAAACTTACAGTTGTTCAGATGCTCCCAATGAGGACAACATTTGTTGGTGTTGATCGTCTGAATTGTAAAAGCTTTTAAATTTATCAGCTATCGGCTTCTCGGGACTTGTATTAGTGACATCTAAATCAATTTTGCTTTTTGCTTCTAATGAATTACAATTATTTATATTATCATTGTGAGTTTCAAGTAGAGGAAGAAAATCAGTTTTTTCATCTCCACCACCGAGAGTGTCTGTGGTAATATTCGGCAATGAATTGAATAAATCGTAATTCGCTAAATTTTCTGCCAAAAAGTCCATTAAACTTGATTGAACAGTGTTAAGTGGTTGCTGTTGTTGTAAGTTTTTAATGTCATCATCAACTATATTAAGCTGCTTGGCCATTTTTGGTGTGCGACCCATATATGGTCTAGAGAGAAAAATTTGTAATTATTTAATAAAAAGTTTAGAATATTCAAATTTTAAAAAATACATTGTACGGCTGCATCCATCAGGTATGGGTGTCAAGTCATCATCGGAATCATTACGGCGGCTGCGCTTATTTTCCTGTTGGTCATCAGCGCTATCAATATCCTCATGAATTTTTTTATCATTGCGCATTTGTGAACGCTTCTGACTAAATTCTTCATCTGCAATATCGTATAAACATGATTACTTCAGTAGGAAACCTTTTTTTCGGCATACTTACATTTTTTGTGAATAGCTTGTGGAGTTAAATTAGACTGAGCTAGACGCCACCAACCTGATTTTTGAATCGTTTCTTGGCCGGATAAAAAAAACTCGGGGCTGTAATGTGATAAGTTACCAGAGATTGAACCGAACCAATTTTTGCGTCGTCGTCTAAATGCGAGACATTTAATCATATATTTAACTTTAAACATAATAGATATATAATAGGTTTTGATGATTACTTACGTTCCGGGCTCCATTAAAAAGTCCCAATTCTTATTGATAAAACTCACGATATGCGAACGCCAATGGAAGAAGCCGTGATGGCTAAGGCCTTTTGATTTAACGGATAAGTTGTATAATGTCAAAACCACAATCATGAACCATGACAAACGCTGACGCACGAAATTTTCGCGTGGAGCTGCGGTTTTAGCCGACATGGACGTAGAAGGCGCATCATTTCGCAAATTCATGCACGCCGCACAGGTGAAATCAAAGAACACATCACCTAATAAATCACCTGGCCGACACGTGCGTAGGCACTTTGAGTGTACCACAGAATCACATTCTATGCACTCAAGACAATCCTCGTCCTCAGCAAGAGCCCGCTTACAATAAGAACAATGCATTAACAATAACGAAAATTGCAAAAGAAAATTGTAACGTTTTTTTAAACAAATAATCACTATTTTGTTTAGAAGATCAGAAAGGGGTAAACGAATAAAACATCGCGGAGTACACTGAAAGCAAGAAAAACAAAAATAGTGGCAGGGTTGCCGAATCTATAATTTTTAGGAATACAAATATGTATGCAATGAAAATTTTATAATTATATGCACATCAATAAATAAATTAATAACAATAAATTTAGTAGTTTGTATCTTAATTAAACTTATCACACATTTACCATATATGATCGTAATATTTTAATAATACACACTTGTTTGATTTAAAGCACAAAAAAAACGAAAATTCGTTGAAAATCAGATCAATATTTTTAAATTTTTTTAACAGTCCATCAAAGTTTGATATTATTGTTTCAATAATTTTTTATGAACTTAAAACACATACAATCTAAAAGATACGTGAATTCAACAAATAGGTTTCGTATAGATTATTTAAATCTGTGTTATTGTTGAAATAATGCCACGCGTCATTGTATATAATACCAACGCAGATAAGCAAGTGCGAGACTTCAAGGAGTTAGGTACAGACATTCGAATAACTACTAACTCCTAGTGACGGTCTATAATTTTTTGTATCTGCTTATTTCAGCTCCGGACGCTCAAGAACTAATAAGAGCAGCTATAGAGGCACGGCGACTGGCTTATTGTCCATACAGCAAGTTTCAAGTAGGCGCGGCTATACAAACGGGTGATGGATCAATTTATACAGGTTGCAACATAGAAAACGGTGCATATCCGGCGGGAATTTGCGCTGAACGTACTGCTGCTTGCAAGGCGGTTAGCGAAGGGAAGCGCGATTTCGTTGCCTGCGCAGTTGTGGCACAGCAAGAGAGCGGATTTACCACTCCCTGTGGAGTATGTCGGCAATTCCTAGCTGAATTTGCTATGCAAAGAGATTTCCCTCTATATTGTGCAAAACCAGCTTGTCCGCCGCTACATGTTCTTGTCACAAGTATTCGAGATCTGTTGCCTCGCAGCTTTTCTTTTCTGGGAAATAAATAAATTAATATATAAATAATTTTAAAAAGCACATATTGGTTAACAGCTACCATTGGATGAACTATTATAACGAATGTACTATATTTTTTAATATATCAATAAATTTTTTACCTTTTGAAAACGTTTATTATATGCATTTTCATGGCATCAGCTTTCAATTATTATTTAAATCCTTTATTTGCTTTTCTGATTGAATCCGAATTAGGCTACGATAGAACGGAAATGTAGTAGATCTGCTTTTAAACCGGAAATTCGAACTGTGAATTCAATTTCCATGCATTGACTTTGAACGAATTTAAATTATGGACGTATGACATATTTACATATATGTATGAATTGTGTGGTATTATGAATGTAATTGGTAAGATAAAAACGTCTTCAGAATTTTAGAAGCGAAACGAAACTTGAACAATGAAATCACTCATCATTCTTGCCACACAGCATTTATTTATTTGTTCGTATAAAACACACACACCTACATCTAAACGCATAGTTGGCTGTTATCTTGATTTTCCACCGCTTTTGGTGGTGGCTCAATTGCACTCTCCGAACTTTCTCAGCAAATACACGGCCACAAATGTATTTAATGTCTTCCGTTTATCTGTATTTGTTTATAGAGAAAGTATTGATAAGAAGAGACAAGAACGTTTGAAGAAGAAAGAAACTACAAATAGCTTTATATACTAATTAGTTTGTTGGCCAGAAAGGTGACTGCGAAACAAAATACAAATCCATTCAGTTGGTGATCATACTTTGAGGAGAATATACGCAACGCGCACTAGCCTCGTTGATTTGCAAAGTTCGTACGAAATTGTGCTCTTGAAATTTTAAAATAGATATTGAATAACATATCAAGTTTTCCATAAAATGGACATATACCAGGTGACGGGTTTGAAGAAACCAGAATTGGTTGAACACATCGAAAAGTACGGTGATTTGGGTGAGTGATGGCCATCCAGCTATGTAACAGTTGTTAATTGAATGCTTGAAGTTTGAACATTTGCTTTTAAAATATTTTGTTATTTATTTAGGTATGTATGTATGTGTATTTGTAGAGTAAATCCATATATGTTCATTTACAGATGAACCTACCAAAGAACTGATACAGGCAGCGATTGCAGTCCAGAAGCACGCCTATGTACAATATAGTAACTTCTATGTTGGTTCTGCTTTCCGCACGAAAGACAATCGCATCTTTGCGGGTTGTAATATTGAAAACGCCAGTTTCACACCTACATCGTGTGCGGAACGCACCGCCATTAGCAAAGCCGTTTCTGAGGGATATCTTGAGTTTGTTGCAGGTGCAGTGGTCGCTTATCAAGAGGACGCCTTTACAACGCCGTGTGGCGTGTGTCGACAATTTATAATGGAGTTTGCGCCTAACGATATACCACTATTCATTACAAAATCGCAAGTCAATGTTGAGAAGTCGAACGAAGATCTGGTGCTGTCGACATCCATTTATAATCTGCTGCCTCATGGATTTCGCACGTATAAAAAGAATTGATTAATTACATAACGAAAAGACAAATATTTTAATCGATAGTTACTCTTTAATCATATCAAACTATGGACCTCACTTATACCGTTATTGTTGGCAATAATAATGGTTTATTGTATATTTAATTAGAAACTGGCAATAGCAAATAGTTTAGGTGAAGTGTAATTTTGTACAAATCATAAATACACATAAATATTTAATTTAATTTTAAATTTGGCAAAACATTTTGCGCAAATTATGACGCTTTTGTATTTTTTATAAACATTCTCCCATCGATATCTCCCAATTTCGACGAAGAGCGTTAAAGAGCAAAACAATTTAATTCTTAATAGGTATGTCTTTAATTCTCTTGAATTCAATTCGTTTTATCTCTGATAAAATGCGATAAGCCTTGCAAATTTATTAACTTGTAAACCTTGAACTTCAACGGTTTTTAGTTTCGTAATCTTTACTTCGAAAATAAGATTGGTGCCCAATTAAAGCAATTTTGCACAGAAGTGCATTATGCTCTCCTACATGTACATATACTATATTGAGTAAGCTCGCAATTTTTCGCTTATAAATGCCATAGACAATTTGAAACTAAAACTATTATATAATCTATTTGTTCATAACTGAAAAAAAATTCAGTAATATCAATATTTTACTTAAGTTATAAAAAAAAACAAAACATCTTACTAAAATTGTATTAGAGCCAATTGAGATAAAGACTAATTTCAGTTCAATCGAATATTCATAGGTTCATGTTATCGGGGATGACCTGTGCATTAATTATAATGTTATCATTTAGAGTCATTAATTTATTAAATTATTACTTCAGCGCAGAATAACTGAGATATCAAAGCTATTGTGTTTGTTATGATTAAGGGGCACACCTAGTGTGACAGCCTAAAAAAACGTCGATTTTTTGGATTTAAATAAAAACTACTATATAGACTACTATAAGCATAGTGAAATTAAAAAAAAAAAGATAAATATTTTTGTAGTTATACGAGATCTTCGACGGCGCTAAAAAAAAGTGCTTCACTGCTGTAGTGATGCCGGCCTTTTCCGTGAATGAAACCTGTTTAAAAATAAACTCATGGAGCTGAACAGAGCGACTATACTTTAGAACTACTTTAACACAAAAGCTATTCGAGATATCGATTTGAAATTTTGTATGTTATTTTTAAAGGTATAAGCTATCGATATGAAATCGATTTTTTTCTTTCAAAATATCACACTAGTTGTGCCCGCACCCTTTTTAATTTTTTTACTAGCTTAAATTTGTGAATATAAATTTTCAGCATAGCATATTCAGGTTATTATATAATTAGATGGACGTACATCACTAAAATACATATGTTGCTAAAAGTAACACAGATAAACAATAAATTTATATATAAATGCAAAACCATACGATTTATTCTGAAAAAAGGGTACTTTGATATAAGTATTTGAACAGGAGTTAGATTTTTTAGACATATTTCAGTGTTCGCTCGCCGGAACCGTACACTTTGTATTCGGTTTCTTTCGATAACGGTGTTACTGGATCGTATACCAAACGATTGTGTATATGCGCAGTTTCAAAGTCTATGGTACGTTTAATTGGCTCAATATAATTGGCACGTACCTCCGTTGTCATGCCAGAGTTGGGCACATGTTGTACCAAGCTGGGGAACTCACAATGGCGTTTTGGGCATTCTCTTGCAGCCTTGTCATCACATTGGGTATCATCGCGTCCGGGGAAAACACGCTTGATTTGTGTATCATATTTCTGCCAATTCCAAAATGTTATATTGTCATGTCGAGCCACGCTACCCATCAACTCAGCCGGCGTGTAATGGACAAAGGATAGGCGTGAAGTGGTTGCTGCTGGATCGAGTAATTTAGAGAAACTCGCTTTAGCACGATTAATGACCACTTTAGAAGCCGCCACAGGGGAGGGTAGGGCCGTAGGCGTAGGTGGTGCAGGTGCTGTTTGAGGATTCCAAAGGTAATCTTGGTGCATAATGCTGCTGGCTGGTCGCATTGGACGACTAATGAAACGTAGACGTCGATCTTCGAAATTTTTCATTAGTTGCACTTTTGGGCCAAGCGAGGGATTAATCATTTTATTTGGGTCATCATACTGTAATTCAATAAATAGTAAACAACTCATTACATGCATTGTCAAATAATCACAATTTGCCGCAGAAACACAATTCTTACTTACTTTCCATGTATAATTGACTTTGTAGTCGCTTGTGCGTAATTTCTCTAAGGTTGGGTCTGTACTATACGGTTTTGGTTCTTTGAATTTAGCATGCATATTTTTCCCCATCATCGTGTCAGTCATATAAACATGACTCCGATATGTGGAGGTGCGCATATCGTCCTTACACTCATCACTTGGTTTTTTGTAATCGATGAATCCAAAGTCATTCATTTTCAAAAGTCAACTATGCTTACAACAAAAATGCAATACAAAATGTTTACAAGACGTTATAATACGATAAAATTAGAAAAATATACGAATTTTGCTTGTTTCTGACGTATAAAGTGCGTAAATCAAATAATTCTTTAGATATGAAATATTGCTGTTCTGGTTGCTAGGGTTCATTGTACCAAATATTGAAATGTATGTACATATGTGCACACGTTGCCAATTAACTATGTACCATATACATATAGTATGAAAAGAGGTAAAGTGCCTCTTTATTTTGAAATTGAATGTTTCCAGGAACATTGATTAGATACCTACGATAAAATTTAATATTATTACATACTCGTTTTTATTTCATTTGAGTATTTGTCTACTAACTACTTGCCGACTTTTTTGAGGAGTAATTTACAAGCGTTTTAATTCACAATATACTGTAAATACTTTTATTTGAAATCAAATAAATCAAGCACTTTGGAATGATCTTCGAATACAGAACAGTATCAAATAATTTTCGAAAATCGTAATTAATTTTTTCTCACGTTATTTCGTTATACAAAAATCAATACGTAAATTTAGTTTAGAACAATAATACAATTTTAGAAATACTTCTGCTTTATACATAACATATTACATATTGTATATAAGCTAATATTCGTAATTATGTGGATTTAATATATTTTGCGTGGCGTATATATGTATAAATGTATAAGGATGTTGAGAAGAATATAACAAGTACAAGTCAACAGTTCAGGCAATTTCTTTTAGCGCCAGAAGAGATTGGCGTAAATATTCATATTGAGTGCGTGCGTGTTTGATCTCCAGTTCAGCTAGCTCAACCAGCCTGTAATTAAAAATAATTGCAATAAGTGTATATATTTATTTGACAAATGTAAATATTGTACCCTTTCTTGAAGGCGGCTACGCGGCGATTGCGAAATCCAACTAATTCTTCCTTTCCACATGCGGACATCGATTCGAATTTCTCACAGGCCTCTGCTTGTGCTGCTTCTGCCTATTTTCACAAGCAATGAAAGAAATATAAATATATGTATAATTTTTTTTTTTATCAGATAAAATCAGATGTTTTGAACTCTTTCAAGCATGCGTAGTGTTAATTATTTGTATCTGAGTAGTGGATAATTTTGTGGTCTTTGGTGCGATTTAGTTTTTGAATAATGGATGTTATAATTAATAGGGATTGGCAATGCAAAACAAAATTACATTAGAATATAATATAATATGAAAACAGTTATATATAATATGAGTAAAAAAATAATACACCAAGTACCTCTTGAACATCCAAAGGCTGCATATGAATTCGTTGAAAGCAGTTTGTTTGGTATTTGTATAGTTTGCATTTAAAAAGTGTGAATAGAAAGTTTTAATTTAAATATTGAACTAGTACAAAAAGTTATAAATAATTAAAACCGTGAATAAATCAAATATTTGCGCGAATAATACAATGACAAAACACACAATAGTACTGCACAAAATATAGGTGTATATATAAATATATATATGTAAATATATAGGTAAACAGTGGAGGAGACTATAAAAATGCAGACTATGTATAATCAATTAACATTATAATAGCATAGGCGAGTGAAGAGAAATTTATGGAATTAATATTGGCGAAATTTCTTACAGCATGTACGTCCTTATTTTTGGCACGTGCTTTCTCTAAATTACGATTAGCCGCCTCATATGCGGCTAAACAACGTAAACGACGAATTAAGAGTGCTTTCGCTGCATCGCTGTCGCGCTGGTAGTAACGCAAAGTATCCCCGAGCTTCAAGTCCTGATCGCTAGAGACTCGTGCTTCCAAGTTCTTGAAAATTAGTAAGAAATTATATTTGAAATTTTACATTTTCTAATCATCTTTTTTTAATTTCAAACATTATAATTTCTACCTTAATTTTTTCAAAGATTTCGGCTGATTTAGCACAAAATGTTTCCATGCTTCCTTTTTCTGCGGTTGAAAGTTGCATCAACGCATTTGAGATTTTTTGGTGGCATTCGCTGACTTCCTTATGACGTTGCGTCATTTTCTCAGTTCGCACGGCAGCATCACGCAGATGTCCATGATATTCAATGAGAAATTGTAGCTCATTTTCAAAGAAATCATTTACGTCTCGAACTGTTGCACTCATTAATATTTCGTCGGTAGTCTTTCCTAATGACTTAACAAATCCACCGAATATAGCCATTTTTTTACGCGGCTTTGCACAGAGGTCCTGGTCATACTCTAGGAACACTTTTAAATGCTGATCCACACGAAATACCGGATGATTAGCGAGTCGACGCAAAAAAACTTCATGCATTGCTACTGTTTTCTTGAAGGTGGCCAAGTATTCGCTTTGGTAAAAAAAAAGCGTTTATTAAAATCAAAAAAAAATATTTTATTGACTATAACACTTACGCTTCGAGTTCGGATTTCATTTTCTTAAATTCTTCCTTTGTCATATTGCCTTCGCCTTCTCCAAGTCGCTGTAATTTTTCTCGTGAGGCATCGAAATCAGGGCGTGGCGGGCATGGTGGAATCTAATCGATTGAATTTAGTTGGTTCGTTTCAGCTCGATAATTATAAAAAACTTACAATATAACCGGCATATTCTTCATTTTCTTCGAAACGGTCGTGCAGCCAAACAAATTCCTCGTGTTGACGAACCACATTATTGTCTTGCTTAACAAAACCGGGCAAGGTTGTTCGCGTGTGCACGGTAAATTTAACTTTATCTTTTTCACTCAAAGCGTCGGATATTTCCACATGTAAAGTATTTTCCGCGAGAGCAGCAGGTGTGATTGCGGATGAAGACGACTCCGAGGTGACAGTACCACTGCCGTTATTTGTATTAGTTGTTAAAGGATTTCCGCCCTCGGTTTCCCGTTGTGTATTAGGATTAGAAACTTCCATTATTGTTGGATTATTGGTTGAGATGCTGTTTTCTATGCCTAAGGGCGAAGATATACTTTTGGACAGATTTTCAACTGTTGTTAAATCATCCGTTCCGTCCTGAAAAATCAGAGTTTGAGGAAAATTTTGTAATAATACATTTACGAATTATATTTTATTATAAAATTTCTTATCTTGTTTTGTGCTTGACAAAAAAATTGAACAAAAGATATTGATAAACGACTGTATATGCGTATGAAATTCAAAAAAGGGAGGATGTCTTTGACTCATGCAAGTGGTTACTGATATCAGAAAATGTATTTCAAAGAAAATACTGGAATACGATTTACAGCATATAAAATAAATCAACAATTGGCTTACCATCATTGTTCTGAATTTATTTCAATGTATTTTTCTATTTCAAATGTCCTTAAAACACAATAAACAAATATATTATCTGAAAACTTTGAACGTTGCAACTTTCTGTATTTTACTTTCTTCTACCTTCGCCTATAATTATTTGATTGCTTTTTTTTATTTTTTTAATAAATAAAGTCAAAAGGAATGGGTGAATATTTATTTGTTTGTGTCAGTTTTACCATCAGCTGTGCAACGACTCAGAGATGTCATTAATATTTTCAACATCAAACCCGGTTATTAGAAAGAAATGTACCCAGCAAATCATGACAACCGAAATTCCTTTGCTCATGGAGACCAACACATACACAGCGTACAACCCTTTGGATGAACAGCATATGCCCTTTGGATGAATGATCCCACGTACACAAAAGTTTCAGTTACTTCCATCAATTCACCCTTAAGAAACTCATAGAAAATTTAACGGAAATTTATGGTAGCCCTCTGGGGTAATCAACGTGCGATTTTACCGATAATTGACTTGCAGTGGAGCTTGTAAGAAATATGTTAAGTCTTGGTTAATGCCTTTTAAGTCACATACTCATGGTTTATTATATTACTTTTATATCTGTCACATTAAGTATATGTATGTATACTATGTGTATTAGATATATAAAATTTTAATAACAAAGATTTTATTTATTATTACTAGAACTTTGCAAAAGTAATATGCACAAGCCTACCTGTATATTCACCAAAACACTTTGTATGTTTACACTTTCAATAGAGCCACAGTTTTTATACACCGAATATCTCTTGAAGCGCGTATTTGATGCTTTTGAATGGGGTTCTTGGGATTTATGAAGAATATTGCTATAAAAATTCAACATAATTTCGTTGTCTTAACAAAAAATAACAAAACTAAATATAACGATTACTACAAAACAATTATGCAAAACAACGTGTTACGACTGAAACCGGCACAAATTGCATTAGTGCCAAAGTCTTTGAAGCATTTCCAACAAATAACTGTAAATTGAGTAAGAAGGATAAGTTATATTAATTTGTTTTGGTATATAAATGTATAAACAATAAAAATACGTTGGGTATTCACAAAGCATTGCCAGTGATTAGCTACTAGCTATATTTATTTTTTATATATAATTTTTCTATTCTTATATTTTTATATTTATGTACTTTGTATCATATAGTTTCATAAATGATTTTATGTAACGACTCATTTTGTACATCGATTTTATCAAGTTCAGATTAACAATAAGTTAAATAGTTCCTTATGCAATAATATTTCTAATATCAGTAATATTGGAGCAACTCCAGTTCAGAATCTGATTATGTAATTAGAAAATATAAATTGTGTTATATATTGTGAAGAATTTTTTATTGGTTTTTAAAAATATCATAATCTACTTAAGGAAGTCATTTATTCATAAGTTTTTTTAAAGCTTTTAAAAATTTACCTAATATTGATTAAATATTTGTATAAAAATAAATAACGTCTAATTTCGGCGCCTAATATTTGTACTAAAAATGCTGTTTTGGCACACTTCGCCATCGATTTTTCACCCTTCTTTTAGCTAAATTTTCACTATACTCGAAAATATCGCTGCCATTCATATTCAGTTTAGTTCAGTCCAGTCCATCGTGTATTTTAGTCAGCGGAAAACTTTACGTATACATCATACGAAAGTAAGTGGTTTTTGAGTCCACATTTTCCTTATTTCCTATTAGTTTTGTAATAAATAAAACCCAAAAGAAGTAAATTTAATACTTGTTCTACAATTTTGTAATATTTTCGATTGAACAAGTGTATTATTTGCTGGTGAAAAGTAAAATTAAAATTTGGTAATTTCCAACAAGTGCAATGGGTGAAAAATTGCAAGTGCCAAATGGTGAAAAATCGAATTTTCTTTTACCCAATTGCGAAATTGAAGAGAGCAAAAGAGCGAGCTGTAGCAAAGTAATTATTGAGGAAGAGAGTGCGTGAACGATGAATGAGTACGCTGCGTATTCTTTCGCTGAATACATTTGTATACATGTGAGGGGAGAGGAGATAAATAAAATGCTTTGGCCTAATAATAATGCCATTTAAAAAATTTGAATATACAATTAAGAACTAGTATCTTTATTAATTTATGAATACAAACCTTCATTAGTACTTCAAGTGCTCGCCTAATAAAAAACTAACAAAACAAAAATGGCAAGCGATGTAGTTGTTCAAGGGGAAAAATCGATATTCAAATATTACTTAATACCTTAATGATATTTAAGGATTTTCATGCCAATATTTTGGAATCATATTTTCCAGGATATATAAAATATGTCGACTTTGAAGTGTTATCAAGACGAGGAGCGAGAGTCTCAATATGGTCGCGTCTTCGCCGTTTCCGGTCCCGGTGAGTAATATATTATAAAATTGTAACAGTATATGTATACTATGTGAAAGCGAGTATCATTGAAGTTAGAGGACTTTTGCAGTGTTTTATTAAGTTTACAGTTCAGCCGTGAAAAGTATTTTGAAGAGAAATAATTGAAAATTTTATTTATTTTAGTTGTTACTGCGGAGCGTATGTCAGGATCGGCTATGTACGAATTGGTACGTGTGGGTTATTATGAACTGGTTGGTGAAATTATTCGACTGGAAGGCGATATGGCCACCATCCAAGTATACGAAGAAACTTCCGGCGTAACTGTTGGTGACCCGGTTTTGAGAACCGGTAAACCCCTATCGGTTGAATTGGGCCCTGGCATTTTGGGAAGTATTTTCGATGGTATACAACGTCCACTTAAGGATATTGGCGAGAGCAGCGGTTCCATTTATATACCAAAAGGTGTAAATATTCCTTCGCTTTCGCGCACCGAAGCTTGGGATTTCAATCCGACAAATGTGCGTGTCGGTTCTCACATTACCGGCGGTGATCTTTACGGAATTGTTCATGAGAATACGCTTGTAAAGCATCGTTTGATTGTTGGACCTCGTTGCAAGGGAACTGTTCGATATATGGCGCCAGCGGGTAATTACACAGTGGAAGATGTGATTCTGGAAACGGAATTCGATGGAGAAATCACCAAACACACTATGTTACAAGTATGGCCAGTGCGTCAGCCTCGTCCTGTCACTGAAAAACTGCCTGCAAACCACCCACTATTTACAGGACAACGTGTTTTGGATTCATTATTCCCTTGCGTGCAAGGTGGTACTACGGCAATACCTGGAGCTTTTGGTTGCGGTAAAACTGTAATTTCACAGGTAAGATTTTCAATTGGAGATTTGTAGTATCATATTATTTATACACTCGGCTATTTGCAGGCACTCTCTAAATACTCGAATTCTGATGTCATTATATACGTTGGTTGTGGTGAGCGTGGCAATGAAATGTCTGAAGTACTTCGTGATTTTCCCGAACTTACTTGTGAAATTGATGGAGTCGTTGAATCGATTATGAAACGTACTGCTTTGGTTGCGAACACCTCCAATATGCCTGTCGCAGCTCGTGAGGCCTCCATTTACACCGGTATCACACTTTCCGAATATTTCCGAGATATGGGCTACAATGTTGCTATGATGGCTGATTCGACTTCACGTTGGGCCGAAGCGCTTCGTGAAATTTCTGGTCGTTTGGCTGAAATGCCTGCCGATTCTGGTTACCCAGCCTATTTGGGTGCTCGTCTTGCTTCTTTCTACGAGCGTGCCGGACGCGTCAAATGCTTAGGCAATCCCGAACGCGAAGGTTCCGTCTCCATTGTCGGTGCTGTATCGCCACCTGGTGGTGATTTCTCAGATCCTGTCACATCCGCCACTTTGGGTATCGTACAAGTGTTTTGGGGTTTGGATAAGAAATTGGCTCAACGTAAGCATTTCCCCTCGATCAATTGGTTGATTTCCTACTCGAAGTATATGCGCGCCCTGGATGAATATTACGATAAGAACTTCCCTGAATTTGTACCACTTCGTACAAAAGTTAAAGAAATCTTACAAGAGGAAGAAGATCTCTCTGAAATTGTACAACTGGTGGGTAAGGCATCTCTGGCCGAAACTGATAAAATTACATTGGAAGTGGCAAAATTAGTTAAAGATGACTTTTTACAACAAAACTCATACTCGCCATATGATCGTGTGTGTCCATTTTACAAAACAGTGGGTATGCTAAGAAATATGTTGGCCTTCTATGAGCTCGCTCGCCATGCTGTAGAATCCACTGCCCAATCAGACAACAAAATTACATGGAACGTTATACGTGATGCGATGGGAAATATTCTCTACCAGATGTCTTCAATGAAATTTAAGGTAATTTTGGTTTGATATTTATATTTAAGTCAGTAGATATATTATATATACCACTAATTTTCTTACAATGAATTGATCACAGGATCCAGTTAAGGATGGAGAGGCGAAAATCAAAGCGGACTATGAACAACTTCACGAAGACTTACAGCAAGCTTTTAGAAATCTAGAAGACTAAATCTCTGAAAACTAGGAGGGAAAGTTAAATACAAAAACTATATCCAAAGCCAAGTAATATAAAGTAAAGAATTTCGGTTTAAGCAAACCATCGAAATATTTCAGTTAATCCATTTAGCGTATAACTGACATATTTACAGCTAGTCATTTCAACTAGTCATTACGTGTTATCGTAATATTTGTGGAAATAAACTTAGGATCAGTTTAAACATAAATATACAAAATAGTATTCACCCTTAATTTACCTCTTAATGTCCTATAAGCAAGTGTTAATATATCTTAAACAGTATAATGGGAAGAATGGTGAGAACGGAAACGAATCACCTGTGAAAGACGAACAATAACTAGTGGCTAATAAATAACAAATGTATAAGCAAACGAACCAAAGAAACTTCAACTACAAAAAAAACTATTTACATATATATATGTATATTATGAGAAACTGTTACTACAAATAATACCTAAATTAAACAAACGAATATTTAAAAGTAATTGTTACATTTCGAAGAATTTGGCAAGAATTTAATTTTCCATAATTCTTATTTATATGTGCGTCTAATGGATTTATGTATCTTTAAAATGTTAAGACCAGTTAAATAATATTGAAAATTTAATTTTTTGCGTTGTTTGTTATATGTAAATATTAAGACCTAAAGGGCTAACAAATCGTCTTTAGCGTTTCTAAAAGCAAGCAATTCTATTTGCTTTCCGTTTGACTGTTCTAGGTTATTTATTTATTGTAAAATAAAACAGTTTACATAGAGATTAAAGCGAATGTTTATGCGTATGTATTATCCATGTTAAAAAATAAAAAACAATAACGCTTACCAGTTTTCTTCATTAATTTTAGGAAGGAGTTTAACGAAAGAATACCATAAAGTACACCTTTTTTATTCCGCCTTCCATTTAAAAAAGTTGAACAAAAGCAAAGTTTCCAGATCTATATACATATATGTTTATAGCTGACATAGAGTTACAAATACAACAAGAAATAGGATTTCTATGTTATTGCTGAACAATATATATATGTTTTTAATTTTGCGTTTTATATGTTATACATAATACTC